TTTGGCCAATAAAAGTTCACTTTAATACTCTGTAATGTAACCTCGGTTAGCAATGACAGCGGTGGGTCTCCACCAGGTCAGACACACTCTAGCTGCTATTTTGGCCCATTCTTCTGTGCAGATCTTCTCTAGAGCTGGGATGTTTTGGGGCTGTTGCTAGGCAACACAGACTTTCAACTCCCTCCACAGGTTCTCTGTTGGATGGAGGTCTGGAGACTGGCTGGGCCACTCCAGAACCTTGACACGCTTTTTTATGTAGCCACTCACTTGTTGCCCAGGTGGTGTTTAGGAGCATTTTGCTGGAAGATCCACCACGTTTCATCTTCAGTGCTCTCACTGATGGTTTTTACCTAAAACCTCCCGATACACGACCCCATTCATGCTTTCCTTAACACGGATCAGTCGTCCTGGCCCCTTTGCACAAAAGCAGCCCCACAGTAAAGTGTTTCTACCCCCGTGCTTCGGAGTGGGTATGGTGTTCTTGTTGGGCTGGGCAATAAATGGAAAATTTATCATTATCGAAATTTCTGACTCTTATCGTGATAATTTTTCCCACGTCAATAAATTTGATATGAAAAATGAAAAGATGTGTGTAGGTTGGCAGCGTTCATGTCCCTTAAAGAAGCTGAACCACCTCCAGTCACGTAAAAATGTGACTCAACGTAACACACGTGACAGCGCAATCTAGTGGACGACTTTTGTTTCTGCGCATACCTGTAGTTATCGTTCATTTATCGATATCGAGGTGAAACCCTCAATATATCGTGATATTAATTTTAGGCCATGTTGCCCAGCCCTAGATGTAACTCAGCCTTCTCCTCACTGCAAGGTACAAGGATGTGTTTTCCCAAATGTCACTTACTTCATCTGCCATTCTCGGCCATTTTTAGAGCAACTTATTACTAGCCTAGTGAACTAGACCAAATTCTTGCTTTGCAAAGTTTGGTCTAGGCATGCTCCACTGGAACCTCAGCAGCTCCTACCAGGACTCTGAAACCCCTCTAGAGAGCTGTGATTGGCCAGCCAAACACATAAAGAGCTGTGATTGGTCCATATTGGTGGGCCAATCATAGTGCTCTATCTGCTTAGTGAACAAATCACAGAGCTTTATCCGCTTTGTGGGCCAATCAGGGCACTCTATATGCCTGGTGGGTGGGATGATGCAACAGAGTGAAACAAGAGAATGTCACATTCATTGTCCAGTGGAATGCAGAGATCATTTGAAAGACAACGGTAGAACCCGCCCCACAACCGAGAGCCGTCAATGGAGCATGGCCAGACTAAATAATACATTTATTTAGTCTGGCTTGCCAGGCTAACTTATTACTGGACTGGCTAGAAGCCTGGTAGCCATGCATTTGCATTTATAGAAATGGGTGTCTTTTTGAATTGAACCCTAACCTGCAACCTTCCGATTACGGGGCGAGCACTTATCTCCTGTCCACCGTCACCCAAATCCATTCGTTTAACCATCCAGGAATGGTTTCCATCAACAAAAAGTTCTATTAGAAAACCCTTGCGTTGGGTGTTGGGTGGTTAGAGGAGGTCCGACACACGGCTCTAAAGAACATTTACAAATCTTTGCTTTGTGTAAGACACAGTAGTCACGTTTACATGGACACAATTAATCGGATTTAACGCCCAATCAGATAAAAAATTCTGCGTGTAAACATGTCAGTCGGAATGTTCTGATCCGATTTGGCTCGATCAGAATGAAATTTCAGTCCGATTGAGAGAGGTGGTTTTGTCCGATCCTCATTCTGATTGACGAGCACGCACACAGCCATTGGGATTGTTGGAGTAAAATAACGCCCACTGCACATGTGTGCAACCGCTAGCGAGCCTCCCTGCCTTCATACCCGACATGAATACATGACGGCCTAATTAACGAGCACCGGCTCTTAATTACGCTGGCAAGCCGTCCCCGTTTCTGTCAGTGACGGTGTGACGTAGATCTGTCAGGCTTTTCTAATCCTAGAGTTTCACCGTCTGTTTTCTATCAGAAGCTACTGCAGGAGGTACGTGTAGGAGACTATTTCATCTTCGGCCTGCATGAAAACCTCAGTGACTGATTATAGTCATAATTTTTCAGTGTTCCACACCTTTAAATCTTCATTAAAAGAGACTGTGGTATATTTCTGATCTGCTCTGGTACGTGGCTCTGAAATTCCCAAAACGACAGCAAACTTTAATGGAATGGTTGTGGAGCTTTGATGAAAAACAGGATAATATTAACTCGGTCTCCCAGACCTTAGTGACCCAATGACCATCTGCATAAAGATCTGGGTCAACGTGACCACCATCTTTATTGAGGAGGAAAACTGATGTTGTAGGTAAATGCACCGCTGGACACTCGTCTTAAGAGGAAACGAATATTACTGCTTCAGACATTCATGTTCTGTTTTTATTTCTGTTTTTTACTCTTGACATTCTTTTCTTGTATGTTGCCTTTATGCTTTCAGGCCTACATGAAGATCTACCAGGGAGAAGAACTTCCTCATCCTAAGTCCATGCTGCAGGTCAGTTTCACCACCCTGCTGTTCCTCAGCCTACCTTAGCCAGGTGCTGAGGAGCTAAAGCTTATTGGATTACTTTTCCATCCCAGAACCACATAAATCCTCCTGCCTTGGAACACTGTAGACCTCATTCTTCAGAAGAACTTGGTTCAGCGTGCAGATTTTCTAGTCCAGTGGCTCATGACCTGTTTTGGTAAATAGTGAATGGCCTGCTTTTGAACAGTGCATTCGGAGAGTTCTACCCCCCCCCCAAGGCACATCCCAACACAATCAGTCATTCACCCATTCACACGCTGGTGGTGATGAGCTACGATGTAGCCACAGCTGCCCTGGTGCGACATCTTGACGTTACTTTTTCTCCCTTTATTGAACAAGTGTAAGTTGGTCGTTATTGTGGAAGGAAGATGCTTTTTACTGGCGCTTTAATAGTTGCTGTGGTGGAAAACAGGGAAACGGTCCAAAGTTTGGGCAGATTAGCTAATGCTAGCCAGCAGAAGGCAGGCTCATGATCATCCCAAAAACACGATGGTTGTGAACCCAAGAACATCTAAACTCTACAAGCAGAAGTAAAGTCCCCATCATCCTGTTTATTAGCTGTATGCAGCAGAACCGCAGAAGTCAGGTTGCTGCTTCGAGTCTGCTCCATACACCGCTGCAGGCAAATGGCAAGCCACTGTAGCATTTAATTCATAAACGCGCCGATCTTCAACCATAGTTTAAAGTGGAATATTGCTAACCCATAATAGATATGTCACCATCACATTTCTAGCTGGATAAAATTAAATGCTATTAGCTTTTCCAGTAGCTACCACTGAACATGTTGATGAAATACATAAAATTCTACTGATCATGGAATATATTTAAATTTTTTATTTTGACTGAGAGGAGTGACATTAATACAAACCTAAAATGTTACAGAAATGTAGGTAATTTTCCATAAAACACCTATTAACTGTAAATATCAGATGGGAAACGGGAGTAGAAAACTCCATTTTAATGCATATTATGGAGCCTTTTATAACAAGGGTCTGGCATTTCTGCCTCATAATTTAGTTGTTTTAGTTCATGTTTTTAGCAGCAGACCACGGTCTCGTTGCACTAGAAACATTGTCAAATGAATATTTGATTAATCAGGAGATTCAATAAAATATTCAAATAGTAAAATAGCTGCTGCTGTCCTATTTTAACCCTTTAACAGAAAAACAAACCATGTGAACAAGAAGACACAATGGTCAGCATGGCACCACCTCTGCATCAATGTGAGCCAGGAAAACCCCTGAGTAAATGTGGGTTGTTTATACATCTTTTAGATTAGTGATTCTAATGTTGCCCTATTTCTTTTCTCCACTATATAGTTATTTTTACGTTGTTGAAAATTGTGGAAATGGATAGTATTTCATGATTGTTAAAACATATATAAACTTTATTTTCCCATCTATAACTAGCAACACGAAAGAGGTGGTTGCAGTAACCACATTTGGCCACAGGATGTCAATATTACTCCATTTTTATTAACTGTACCTTAACCCTTTGATGCATGATGGTCACTACCTGTACAGTGGACAGGTACTCAAAATAGTTATTTATTTGTTTTTGCTATTAAGCACAGCTGTTAAAGACTTTATTGCATGTGAGCCCCTCCATTTGGACTTCAGTAAGTCAAGCCAACATATTTCATGATCAGAATGCAGGCTGTCCACTGAGGACAATTATTTGTAAATTATAAAATTTTACAAAAAATATTTGTTGAAATTTGTTTCATTCACACCCAAATATGAATGAAAAAAATTGTTTAAAAATCATGGTTGAAGATTTCATAATTCATGCATCAAAGGGTTAAGTCAAAATGATTATTATTATTTTATACTGTGTATAGCTGGAGGCACTTCAGGCAGGTGATTATATTCTAAATAGGAAGCCCACTCTTCTTTAAAATATTTGATAAAATCTTCATTTTTTTTTTTACCAGTGATGTATTAAATCTCTTGTTTTTACAGAGTGGGATTGCCTTCTTATTTATGAGTTAAAAAAGCAGACGCGGGATCGCTGACAGCCATAGGGTGTAGTCAGTGTTAAATCCGGGTGGAGCGTTTTTATTAGGGATGTAAGAAAATATCGATATGGCAATATATCGTGATATTTTTTCCAGCAATATTATATCGATATTCAAAAGCTGTGTATCGGAAATATCGATATGGCAATATATCATGATTTTTTTCCTGTGATTATTACATCAATATTCAAAAGTTGTGTATCTAATTCCTGAAAGAATTTACATGCAAACATTTGTGTATTTTCTTTTCGTTTTGTGCAATTCAATCGCCACCCGCTAGTTGGCAGCAGTGTGCAACGAGATTTGTTTCCACCATTGAAATGTAAATCCCTCCCTCATGGTTCAGATACCTCATGTTAAACATGTTACGCATCAGTTTGGACTGTTTACTGAACATTCTTACAATGAGTTCAGTAAAATAAATTGCTTGTAACGTCTGACTGAATGTATCGCAATATATCGTGATATATTGTATCGCGATATGTATCGTATCGCCAGAATTTCAAAAACACACATCCCTGATTTTTATGTTGGGAAGGCAATGCATTTTCTTCCAATTTTCATTCATTCAGTTCTGTGGTTTAATACATGTACATACTGGATTTTAGTTTTAACTGTTTATGTTTTGCAATTTGATACCAAGGCAACGGCTGAAGCTAATAATCTTGCAGCTGCAGCGATCGCCAAAGATCTGTACTACAAAAGCATGGAACAGGTAACAAGAGGATCGCTATGGAACACTTCTGGGGTTGGTTCCTTAAATCTCATGTAACTGTTTTTCTTCCTGGTGTCAGATCTGCGGCGGAGACCGACCTTACATTTCTCCATCAGAACTGGAGCGCCATCACGCAGAGCTGCGGCAGTCCTCAGTATGGCATTTCCGTTCTGTCAAGAAGATGGGTGGCGAGGAGTTTTGCCGGCGCTACCAGGAGCAGTTAGAGGTGGAGCTCAATGAGGCTTATGCAAACTTCAGCAAGCACAACGATGGCAAGAACATCTTCAGTGCAGCACGAACGCCCGCCACACTGTTTGCTGTCATGTTCATCATGTACTTGGTGTCATTGGTCACTGGCTTTGTGGGCATTCGCTCCGTGGCCGTGCTGTGCAATCTGATGATGGGTGTGGCTCTGACCCTTTTCTGCATCTGGGCCTATGCCAAATACTCTGGAGAGTTTCGTGAAGTTGGAGGAGTCATCGACAAAGTGGCAGAAACCCTTTGGGAGCAGGTGAGTTATGACCAGGTTGATGCTTTCAAGATCCATGGCATTTTTTTCTTAAGCGGGGTCTGTTCCAAGTACCTTACTCTTTAGATTGGAGCAACAAATGTTTGTCCCTTGACCGGGGTCATGCTACTGCAAGGCTCTCAGTGAAGCCAGTTCTGACAGTTTCAGTCTAATTAAAGGTATAGTAGATCATCTGTACCATTGGTCCTTCCAATTGTCACGCAAGGCCGTTGTGGTTCGTGCTGAAGAAGAAGAAGAAAATATCATTTCTATAGCGCCTCAAGATAAAAATCACGAGGCGCTTCACAAAAACAAAAACAAAAAAGTAAAAATATAAAAAAGCATTTAGAAAATGTTTTAAAATATATTTAAAATGAGCAAAAATAGGCAATTGTGATTTAAAAGAAAAATGTTAAGAAAGAGAGAGAGTGAACAGGAAAGAGGGAAATCAGTGGATCCTGAGGAAGGTGGAATAGGTGGGGAGAGCAGAATAAAGAGAGAGAGGTGAAGAAGGTCATACAAAAGCCAGCTTGAACAAGTGAGTCTTCAGCTGCTTTTTAAAGGAGACCACTGAGTCCACTGATCTCAGGCTCAGGGGGAGAGAGCTCCAGAGTCTGGGGGCCACAGCAGCAGATGATCTGTCACCTTTGACCTTTAGCCTGGTGCTGCACAACCAGTAGGCTTTGATCACTGGACCTCAGGGACCTGCTGGGGGTGTAGGGACTAAGAAGATCACCAATGTAAGATGGTGCTTGTCCATGTAAGGCCCTATAGACCAGAACCAGGATCTTGAAATGAACCCTGAAGTTGACTGGCAGCCAGTGAAGCTGGAGGAGAAGCGGGGTGATGTGGGTGTGTTTGGAGGACTTGGTCAGAAGCCGAGCACAGGCGTTCTGAACCACCTGTAGACGGTTCAGGGAGGTTCTGCTCAGACACGTGAAAAGAGAGTTACAGTAGTCTAAGCGTGAGGAGATGAAGGTGTGGAGAACTGTCTCAAGTTCAGAGCGGCACAGAATGGGACTCAGCTTAGCAACGTTCCTGAGATGGAAGAAGGAAGAGCGAACAAGAGAACTGACATGAGAATCCAGGGTGAGAGCTGGGTCAAAGTTCACACCAAGATTTCAGACAGAAGGTTTGGTGTGGGAAGCAAGCTGACCAAGAGAGTCTCTGACTTTGGGAACCAGCTTGTCTGGGGCACAGATGAGGATCTCAGTCTTATCTTCATTCAGCTGAAGAAAGCTCCCGCCATCCAGGTTTTGATAGAGTCTAAGCAGGTGTGTAACAACTGCAGCTTAGACATCTCATGGGGCTTAAAGGAGATGTACAGTTGGATGTCATCTGCATAAAGATGGTAGGAGATTCATTTGAAGGAGCTCAGGATGTGCTGAAGAGGAAGCAGATAGAGGAGGAAGAGCAGAGGCCCCAGCACAGAACCTTGTGGGACGCCATGGGTAAGAGAGGTGGTGGAGGACCTAAACTTGGAGACGGCCACAGAAAAGGAGCGCTCAGAGAGATACGAGGACCACTCCAGAGCAGATCCTGATAGGCCTACCCAGTCTCTCAGCCTCTCCAGTAGCAGGTGATGGTCAACAGTGTCAAAGGCTGCAGTCAGGTCCAGCAGGACCAGAACAGAACAGTCCCCTGCATCACTGTGAGTCAGAAGGTCATTAGAGACCCTAAGAAGAGCTGTTTCAGTAGAATGAGCTCTACGAAAACCTGACTGGAAGCTATCATAGATGTTATGTTCATCAAGAGCAGCTGTGAGTTGTTTAGCCACAACCTTTTCCAAGATCTTGGAGATGAACGGAAGTTTAGAGATGGGTCTGAAGCTGCTATGGAGAGAGGGGTCGAGACTCGGTTTTTTAAGAAGCGGGTGGATTACAGCGTTCTTAAAGTAAGCAGGGACCTGACCAGAAACCAGAGAAGCATTAATTATAGAGAGCACGCTGGGACCGATGGACTGAAAAGCACTTTTAAACAAAGATGAGGGTAAGATGTGTAGGGGGCATGCAGAGGTCTTCATAGAGTTAACTAGTTTGGTTAACTCAGGCAAAGAAACAGGAGCAAAGCTATCTAGGATGGTGGGCCTGGTTGGAGTTGGGACAGGCAGCGATAAGGATGAAGGAGAGATGCTAGAGCTAACCTTATTGACTTTGTCCACAAAGAAAGACAGAAAGTTCTCACAGTCTGCAACAGAGTGGATGGAGGTTGTAGGAGAGGCAGGAGAGACGATGCTGCTGATGGTGTTAAACAGCACCTTGGGGTTCCCTTTGCTCTGGGACACCAGGTTGGAGAAATAGGAAACTCTCGCATCTCTGACTGCAGAGTTAAAGGATGTCAGAAGATCCTTTAGGTGCAGCAGATGGACGTGGAGATGGGTTTTCTTCCACAAGCAGTCCATTTTTCTGCATTGGCGCTTCAGGCTGCGAAGACTGTCATTAAACCAGGGAGTAGGGTTCACTGCAGGAACTGATCTGGTTCTGACAGGACACATGTTGTCCAGAATGGAGAGGCAGTGCTCGTTAAACTGAGAAGTTAAGGAATCTGGGTCGTAATCAGAAGAACAGGGTGGATCAAAAGCAGCAGAAAATTTGCTAGCTGTGCTCTCATTAAGAAAACGAGAACTAACCATACGGCGAGCAGGAGGTGGGGACGCAGAAACTGACAAGTTAAAGAAAATGCAATGGTGATCTGAAATATAAACGTCCTCAGGACAAACACTGTCAGCATTTAGACTCGGGGTAAAAACAAGGTCTAGAGTGTGCCCCCTGGTGTGTGTGGGGCCAGAAACATGCTGGGTAAAGCTGAATGAGTCCATAAGGCTGGAGAAAGTCATGGCAAAGAGATCAGAGGGATCATCAACGTGGATGTTAAAGTCACCAACAATCACCAGTCTGGACAGCTTCACAGTGGAGGATAGAAAGTCACTAAACTCCTGAAGGAAAGAACTGTTTGGACCAGGTGGACGATAGACCACAGCACAGTAGAACGGGTCCTTACGCCCGACTTTAATCAGCTGCAGTTCAAAGGAAGCAAAGCAACCAGAGGTTGTAGAGCTACATGGAAGATGGTTTCTGAAAACAACAGCTAGGCCTCCACCACGACCAGAACCCCGGGGCTGGCTAAGAAAAGGATAACCACTCTGACAAAGTTCAATCAGCTGGTTCCTGGGCTAGTGTTCACTTCCTGTGTGTTCTGCTTTTGTGTAGATCGATGCACCTGCATCCATTTATTCTAATTCGCCGTTCTCACCGCGTTCTTTTGAATATGGCCGAGAAAGTGTGTACGATAAGAGAACGGCCTTTGAGGAATAAGACAAGTTTTTTTAAGACTCTTTTTGACAATGGCGTGCGCTGAAAGCAAAGATTAAGTTGTCTGCTCGACAGGTAAGCTAAAATTGACATGCTATTTGACTACTGCTAGAAGTTATCTACGACTTATTCTAACTTTCCAGGGAATAATCGTTTGATTCTGACAGAAAAATAACCATAGTGGTTATTAGTAGGAAAGCTTAAGCCAATGGAAATATTTTATTGATCCCACGGGGGAAAACCATATGCTACGGAAGCATAAACAAATCAGGAATAAGTTGCAGACAGCAGTAGCACAACATGGGTGGAGGACGAAAAGTCAAATCGAATGCAACACACAAATGAATATAAATCTGACATCCACCCATTATCTATGCCCCATTATCGACGCAGGGTCGTGGGGGGCTGGTGCCCATCTCCAGCAGTCCTTGGGCGAACAGGCAGGGTACGCCCTGGACAGGTTGCCCGTCCATTGCAGGGCAACACAGAGACACAGGATAAACCACCAAGCATACCCACACACCTAAGGACAATTTAGAGAGGCCAATCAACCTGACAGTCACTTTTTTGGACTGTGGGAGGAAGCTGGAGTCCCCGAAGATAACCCATGCATGCACAGGGAGAACATGCAAACTCTTTCCGGAAAGACCCCAGGCCAAGAGTTGAACCTTCTTGCTGCAAGGCAACAGTGCTAACCACTGCATCGCTGTGCAGCCCATAAGTCTGACATTGTTGAAAAAACCCAAATCTCCTTTTTTGGGTGAGCGTTTGTGGCAAGGCCAGCAGCCATTTGTAAACGGAGCATCACAAGGACACCTGAGCGTTCTCTCTCATGCGCATTTTCTGAAAACGTGGAGAGTGCGGTCCTTTCCTGAAATTCAGAAACATCCTCCGCCATACCCTTTAAATTGAATTTAGTTTATTTACAAAGCAAGCATTCCGTTCAACCTATTTACTTAACAGTCCACTGAGTTCAGTTCATCATTCCCATTAGTTAATGGTTTCCTATATAAGGAACCCAGCAGGTTGCATCGAGTCACTGACTAGTGTCAGAGTCTTTACAGCAATCCTCATACTAAGCAAGCATGCAGCGACGGTGGAGAGGAAAACTCCCTTTTAACAGGAAGACCCCTTCAGAGGATCTTGAACAACCTTCTGTCCACAGCTTTCTCCAATTTCAATCCAAATACAAGGAGCAGGGAACAGTGATGTTTTTAGCAGCGTTAAAAAAACGTGTTACTAACTACTAGAGCTTTTCATTATTATGTAATCAAATTTTTTACCTTTGCTACAGTTATTACGCCGTTCCCGTTACTGGTAAGAAAATGCAGCTCATTACTATACTTCAGCAACGGGGTGTGTTGAAGCTGTCATCTGACCAGGAGCTAACGAGGAGGATGTTTACATTCAAGAACATCACGGCCAGTGAGGAACAATGAAGACACCATCAATAGTACAGAGACCCGGCGACCACAGATTCACTGCTGCAGCCGTACCCTTGTTGATGTGATCCGCTCACCTGTTCACCGCTCAGACCTCAGTTCATTGATTCCTCGTCATGATCTTCTGTCTTCCTGTATCATCCTCCAGCCATACACCTGGAACCAGTTGGTGTTCCTGATTAGTTCCTCAGTCCCGCTGTGACAGTTTGATAGTCGTTTGGAATTAAATCAAGTGTAAAAACTGTTCAATAGGAGCTCAAGGTTCCATCCTAGGTCCATTGCTGTTTCATCTATACATCAATGACTTGCGTAATGGTGTCCAATGCCAAATATTGTGATAAAGTTCATTATTTTCTGTAATGTACTGATCAACATTAGACTTTCATATATATTAGATGCATTACACACAACTGAAGTAGTTCAAATCTTTTATTGTTTCTAATATTGATGATTGTGGCGTACAGCTCATGAAAACCCAAAACTCCTATCTCAAAACATTTGCATATTTCATCCGACCAATAAAAGTGTTTTTAATACAAAAAAGTCAACCTTCAAATAATTATGTTCAGTTATGCACTCAGTACTTGGGTCGGGGATCCTTTAGCAGAAATGACTGCTTCAGTGCAGCGTGGCATGGAGGCAATCAGCCTGTGGCACTGCTGAGGTGTTCTGGAGGCCCAGGATGCTTCGATAGCGGCCTTAAGCTCATCCAGAGTGTTGGGTCTTGCGTCTCTCAACTTTCTCTTCACAATATCCCACAGGTTCTCTACGGGGTTCAGGTCAGGAGAGTTGGCAGGCCAGTTGAGCCCAGTAATACCATGGTCAGTAAACCATTTAGCAGTGGTGTTGGCACTGTGAGCAGGTGCCAGGTCGTGCTGAAAAATGAAATCTTCATCTCCATAAAGCTTTTCAGCAGATGGAAGCATGAAGTGCTCCAACATCTCCTGCTAGCTAGCTGCATTGACCCTGCCCTTGATAAAACACAGTGGACCAACACCAGCAGCTGACATGGCGCCCCAGACCATCACTGACTGTGGGTACTTGACACTGGACTTCAGGCATGTTGGCATTTCCCTCTGCCCAGTCTTCCTCCAGACTCTGGCACCTTGATTTCTGAATGACGTGCAGAATTGGCTTTCATCTGAAAAAAGTACTTTGGACCACTGAAGGCACTTACACATTAGCGTCGGCACTGTCCGAGTTTGGTCGGGCTGGATGGTGTGAGTTTGGTCTCAAATGGGGCGAGGGGTTTAGTGTTCACATATAAATCCGAGGGACTTCTCAGGATTGCGGAAATCCCCGAGCCTGTGGGCGGCGCTTAATATGCTCGGGAAAGTCTGCGGTGTCCTCCATTATAAGGTAAACAAAGGTGGGCATGAGCTGTGTTGCTATGGAGACTCTGAACCACATTATTTAATTAATTTGCTGTGTGTGTCCTCATGATCTTGTGCCCCCCACACACACAAACACTGCTTTCTCCTCTGAGCAGCAGTCTGCTCACCTGGGCAAGAGCTCCGATGCTGAGGACAGGCGCACACACACACACACACACACACACACACACACACACACATATCTCATTCTCTTCTCCCGTTCCCACACTGATCGGCAGCTTCAGAGTGGCAGTTCCATGCTACAGACAGAAGTTTACTCCACAGCATCCAGCATGAAAAATTGGGAAACCCCCCACCCCACCCCGCTGGCTCATTCTTCGAGCAGATTGGGGGCAGTAGGCGTAATTTCAGCCGGCCAATCAGTCCGTGGTGTCGCCTCAGTCCCAGTATGACTGCTGGGGAGAAGATCTGGGATAAATATCGCCTCAAAACGCAAATCTGACCTGTGTGAAAAACCAAATTCCGGGACTGAACCGACGCAAATGTGTAAGCGTCATTAGCCTCTGGCTCGAAAGCCTCTGTACAAAATGATTGCATTGTCCCACATGTAACATTGTCTTTTGTGCTGTTCTTGTACAATAATACTACACTAAACTAAAACACAAATTCTGTCAGAATACATCATGGGCGATCCGGTGTTAGTAGAACTAACATTGTGTCTTTACCACCCAACGTCAGCACTTCTGCATTTGGATCTGACCCAAGTTAGTAAATTTAGGTCCTCGATTTGATTATGATGATGATAAATGACCCGCACTTGTATAGCGTCTTTCAGAGTCAGAGGACTCCAAAACGCTTCACATTACAGTGTATCATTCATCCATGCACACACACATTCACACGCTGATGGTGATGATGAGCTACGATGTAGCTACAGCTACCCTGGGGCGCACTGACTGAGGCGAGGCGATTAGTTTCTGTTCTGGTCTCATGTCACTAACAAAACGACCTTCAAGTTCGTGGTCCAGCCTGGGGGGGGTCATTACACAAGCCCACAATATAACAAAACACCAATGCACACCTGCACCATTCCTACCCAGAGGGTGTGCATGCGGTTCGGGGGCCCACGGGCCACCTATTGAGTACCAATGATTTAAGTGTTGATGTTGAAGCTGTTGAAGAAAAATGTCTTCGATGGCTGGTAGTCTTTTCCCGACAACGCCTTTACTTTCCATATTGAGTGCGTTTACATGCAGCCAGTAACCCTTTTAAAACCCGAATATTCACAATAACCCGGTTCCGCAGGTCCATGTAAACACCGTCAAAAACCCGGATATGCTCATAACCGGGTTATTAAAAACCCGGTTACTACACCTGGGGTAACCCTTTTCTAACCCGAATGTTTGGTCGCGTAAACGCATACCGGGATATCCCCATCAAAGCGTGTGTTCTGTGCATGCTCTGTTGGCAAGGAATCTTGGTCTTTTGAGTAGCGAGACGTCTTGTATGCGCCAGAACACCGCAAGTAAACAACAAGTTGGGAGCAACATGGCGAGTCGCGGCACAGCACCACACTTTTGGAGTGACGAGGAAACTAAAGCGCAAACAAACGCGGTCGCTATCTCTTCCGAACTGGGAAACATGTTGTTGTTTTCACGGATGCCGGAACAAGAAGAACCGTAAATGACGCATATTGCGTCTGGACGTAGTCCATACGTCCTGATGCTACCCCAACGTCCGCATTTAAATCGGGTTATGCAAGTTAGGGGTAACTCTTTCTATTTATGCTTGTAAACGGGTTATTCTGATCAACTCAGAAACCCGAATACCGACCTTAACCCGATCATAACCCGGATATTGGCTGCATGTAAACGTAGTCATTGATGTCGGACTGCTTCAGATCCAGGGTACCAGACAGTGATGCAGACTCTGAACCACTGCTCTGTAAATGTTCAGGGTGATGTGGGCATTCATGTGACGACTGAAGCAGCTGTTACTTAATATAATTTGTCTTCGTGGCTAGGCTGAAGCCACAAAATGCTTATTTTACTCATATAATAGTAAACATATAGTTAGAAAATAGAAGCAATTTTGTAGTTAATTAGGAGTAGGAGGACCCGCTCGAAAACAAGATGGCTCATCTTGAGCGGTTTTATACTCGTAAAATTTAAGTCATTAACTAAATAAATAAATAGATTTTAGCTGTTCAAAATGCAGCAAAACCTTTTTGAGGATAAATCTGCCATTTCCTGTTATCAGTCTTCATGTAATCACCTAAAGATGAGTGAAACAGGAAGTTTTGTGACATTGCTCCAGTCTATCAGGGTTATAGATGGTACCAATTCATTACAGTAACTTTTTCTTCTCGTTTTCTAAATGTTTCAAGTTGTACATTAAACAAAAGCTATATTATGAAATCTTCTGGATGCTAAACCATGCCTTCTAATTTCATATCTGTCCTTTTCTCCCGAAAATCCATGGTTTGGTCTTGATGCTGTCAGAGGACTCCACGAAAGGTGAGCTTTGCCACTTCCTGTTCAAAAGACAGCTTATTTATCTAGAGAGGGGTGTTCATAAACTTGCTCTAAGCACTTACTGAGTCAGTCTAGGGAACCATATTCGTTAGGTGATAGAGCTAGGTAGATCTGGGTGTCATCCATCTGCGTCACTGTGGTAGGCGATGTTTTTGTTTATGACCTGGTTCACTAGGAACATGTACAGATTGAAAGGCAGTAGTTCAAGTATCAAACCTTGGGAAACCTTGGGGGACACCGCATGTCAGGGTGATTTGCTTTGATATGCGTTCACCAAAATAAAACTCCTGTCTGCAAGGTACGATTGGAACTAACTATGGACTGTGCCTGAAAGTCCTGCCCAGTTCATTGGTCTATCAAAAAGGATGTTGTGGTTCACAGTATCAAAAGCTACACTGAGATCGAGCATCACTAAAGCAGATGTTTTTACCTGAATCTGTATTAATCCATTCATCCATCCGTCCAATTTTAGCTGCTTATTCAGAGTCGGGTTGTAGGGGCAGTAGCCTAAGCCGAGATGCCCAGACTTCCCTCTCCCCAGCTACTTGGGCCAGCTCTTCCAGGGGAATCCCAAGGCATTCCCTGGCCAGCCAAGATACATAGTCCCTCCGATGTGTCCTGGGTCTTCCCTTGGGTGTCCCAGTTGGGCGTGCCTGGAAAATGTCACCAGGGAGGTGTCCAGAAGGCATCCTGACCAGATGCCCGAGCCACCTCAATTGGCTCCTCTGAACGAGTAGGAGCAGCGGATGTACTCCAAGCCCCTTCCGGACGGCCGCACTTCTCACCCTATCTCTAAGGAAGAGCCCAGCCACCCTGCGGAGAAAACTAATTTCAGCCACTTGTATCCACGATCTCCTTCTTATGGTCACTACCCAAAGCCCGTGACCATAGGTGAGGGTAGGAACGTAGATCATTTGGTAAATAGAGAGCTTTGGCTTCCGGCTCAGTTCTCTCTCTTCACCATGACAGATCAGTATAGCACCCGCTTCACTGTGGATGCAGCACCAATCTGCCTATCGATCTCATTCTCCATTTTTCCCTCACTTGTGAACAAGACCCTGAGATACTGTCTGATGAAGCCAACAGGACACATGAAACGACAAGTCAATCACCGACCTGCGGCCTAAAATATCATGGTGCCAAGAGCACATATGTACACCTTTATGCTTGAACCACTGTATTAATACAGATCTTCTGCAAAAAGCAGAGACCTGATCCTTAGGCCACCAAATCAGATCCCCTCAACACCTTGGCTGCACCTAGAAATCCTGTCTATTAAAGTTATGAACAGAATCGGTGAGAAAGGGCAGCCTTGGCAGAGTCCAACTCTCACCGGAAACGAGCTCAACTTACTGTCGGCAATGCGGACCAAGCTCTGACACCGGTCATACAGGGACCTAACAGCCCTAATCAAAGGGCCTGATACCCCTTACTCACGGAGTACCCCACCACCCCACCCCACAGGGCTCCTCATGGGATGCGGTGAAACACTTTCTCCAAATCCACAAAACACATGTCGATTGGTTGGTTGGGCAAACTCCCACGCACCCTCCAAGATCCCCCTATGGGTATAAAGCTGGTCCAGTGTTCCACAGTCAGGACAAAAACCACATTGTTCCTCCTGAATCTGAGGTTTGACAATCCAACGGACTCCCCTCTCCAGAACCCCTGAATAGACCTTACCAGGGAGGCTCAGAAGTGTGATCCTTCTGTAGTTGGAACACTCTCTGCGGTCCCCCTTTTTAAATACGGGGACCACCACCCCAGTCTGCCAATCCAGTGGAACTGCCTCTGATGTCTACACGATACTGCAAAGCCGCGTCAACAACACAGCCCAACAACATCCAGAGTGTTAAGGAACTCCGGGCGGATCTCATCCACCCCCGGGGCCTTGCCACTGAGGATTTTTTTGACCACCTCAGTGACCTCGGTCCCAGAGATTGTGGAGTCCAACTCAAAGTCCCTAAACTCTGCTTCCTCAATGGAAGGCATGCCGATGGGATTGAGGAGGTCTTCGAAGTATTCCATCCACTGATCCACAACGTCCTGATTAGAGGTCAGCATCACACCCTCACCACTTTAAACAGTGTTGGTAGTGCACTGCTTTCCCCTCCTGAGACCAGAATCTTCTCAAAGTCATACAGATGTCTTGCACCATGGTCTCTCTGAACTCCTCCCATGCCCGGGTTTTTGCTTCCGCGGCCACCCGAGCCGCATTACGCTTGGACTTCTGGTACGCATCAGCTGCCTCTGTCCCACATGCCAAAAAGACTCAGTAGGACTCTCTTCAGCTTGACAGCATCCCTAACCGCCGTTGTCCACCAGCGGGTTCGGGGGTTGCCACCACGATAGGCATCGACAACCCTGTGGCCACATTTTCAGTCAGCCACCTCAAAAATAGAAGCACAGAACATGGCCCACTCTGAGTCTGTGTCCTCTGCTTCCCTCGGAATGTGTTAGAAATTCTGTCGGAGGTGGGAATTGAAGGTCCTTCTGACAGGAGACTCCACCAGACGTTCACAGCAGACCCTCACGATACATTTTGGCCTGCCAGGTCTGACCGGCAGGCCAATTCACCACCAGGTAGTGATCAGTTGACAGCTCCACCCCTCTCTTCACCCGAGTGTTCAAGACATGCGGCCGCAGATCACATGAAACGACAACAGTCAATCACCGAACTGCGGCCTAAAATATCATGGTGCCAAGAGCACATATGTACACCTTTATGCTTGAACCACTGTATTAATACGGATATCATTTAATACTTTAATCAGCTCCTCTAAATCTGAGACCATGGTCTTGGTTTGGAAAAGGGTAGAATGCCTTCTCCAAGTCAGGGATGAAGTCCTGCCTCAAGTGGAAGAGTTTAAGTATCTCGGGGTCTTGTTCACAAGTGAGGGAAAACTAGAGCGCAAGATCAATAGGTGGATTGGTGCTGCGTCTGCAGTGTTGTGGGCATTGTACTGATCTGTCGGGGTGAGTCAGAAGGCGAAGCTCTCTATTTACCTGTCGATCTACGTTCCTACCCTCACCTATGGTCATGAGCTTTGGGTAATGACTGAAAGAACGAGATCACAGATACAAGCGGCCAAAATGAGTTTTCTCCGTAGGGTGGCTGGGCTCTCCCTTAGAGAGAGGGTGAGAAGCTCGGTTATCCGGGAGGGGCTCGGAGTAAACCTGCTGCTCCTCTACGTTCAGAGGAGCCAGTTGAGGTGGCTCGGGCATCTGGTCAGGATGCCTCCTGGACGCCTCTGAGGTTTTCCGGACACGTCCAACCTGGAGGAGACCCTGCATGCGCGGTTCATTTTCAAGCTGGATGCTGTTGAGTAAACTTCTGTCTGTAACACGGAGCTGCCGTTAAGTGTGGGAACAGGAGCAAAGTGTGTGTGTGTGTGTGTGTGTGTTACCTTATGGAGCAGACTTTCCCACGCGTACAAAGCACCGCCCACAGCCTCGGGGATTTCCGCATTCTGGAGAAGTCCCTTGGATTTTTGTGTGACTACTACACCACTCGTACCAGCCCAAACTCACGCCATCCAGCGCGACCAAACGCCAGCCGCGCCAACGCTAATGTGTAAGCGCCATATTTCTCTCACCTAGCCGGGGAACGCCTTGGGATTCCCCCTGAGGAGCTGGCCCGGGTGGCTGGGGAGAGGGAGGTCTCAGGCTGCTGCCCCCGCGACCCGACTGCTGATAAATGGAAGAAAATGGATGGATGAACTTTAATAAGTGAAGTCTCTGAGCTGTGGTGTTGTCTAAAGCCTGACATAAAACAATCCAGGAAGTTGTTCAGCTGGATTATAACCGCTTTTTCAATCATTTTCCCAATGAAGGCAGATTAGAAATCGGTCTGTAGTTATTCATCACTAACAGATCTAGTTTACTTTTCTTCAGAAGAGGCTTAACAGCAGCAGTGAATTAGGAACAATACCTGACATTAAGGAGCAACTAACAGTTTTCAGTATATCAGCTTTCATGCAATTAAATACATTTTCAAAGAAGTTTGATGGTAGTAAATAAAGACGACAGGTAGATGAGTTTAAGCTCTTAACTATGTCCTCTAGTGTTCTGGCACTAATACTGAAAACAGGCTTTCTAGCCAGTGTTGTTGTGTGGCAGCGGTCTGGTTGTATTGGTTGACATGGAGGAGTTGATGGCTAATCTGATGTTTAAGATTTTAAGCAAAGTCATTATTACACTTAGAATGGGACATGAAGTCATATAGCTCTCAGGCCAGGGTGAGTGGCTTCTTTTAACGCTTGTGCAGCACATCTGACGTCCAAAACCATGATCCAGTTTTGGCTGAAAAAGGATGTAATTAATGTTCTAGTTGAATCCATCCTTCCACCTGTTCTCTGAACCACTTTTTTTCAGTAGGGTCTCTGGGAGGGAGCTGGTGTCTGTCTCCAGCGGTCACCGGGCGAATCTCCATGGACAGGTGTCCAGCCCATCACAGGAACACACACACACATCTAGGAACAATGTAGAGTCTCCTGTGGGAGACAACCCACTCGTGCATGTGGAGAACATGTTTCTCCAGCTGAATGATGTTCTGAATCCCTTGTCCTCCTCCAGATTTTCTCCAAACTCTTTGAGGTGGCTCGGGGTAGAGTTCCACTGGGAAGCCTGGCTCCGGCGCCCCGGCCTTGGCTCGCCTCCAACAACAACGTGAAGAAGAAGAACTAGCCGCTGCCCTCCTGGCCATCTCCCCTTGGCTTAAAGACCCCCCAGGTCCCTGCTCTTACTAGATGAGGGTTTCTTTTACTGGGATGACTCTCTGTAGCCACATGAGGCAGGTGATGTACTTTTCCTCTGGTGGGAGAGGCCATGTGACTCCCTGTCAGCTCAGGTGTGTGGACCTGCCAGAGGACGTCTCCACATTGGTTCCCACGTATGTGACTGTGTAAACGAAGAGCATGACCACTCACCTCCCACCCTGATCATCTTGCCCCCGGCGTTTCAGTGGCTGCTACCAAAGTTTTCCATCTTTACTCGTAGAAATTCTCTGGCTCTGCTGAAGGACATTGAAGGTTTATCAGCTAATGACGGTTTGATATATTTGGAGAAGTTTAGGGTGGAGGGGTCAGAATTGTTGATGTGCGTAGCCCCAGCTGTGAAGTGTTAGATCAGGCAGCGTGCAGTAGAGAAGAACCACCAGGCGCATGAAACGAGGCCACGGGGAGAGGATTCTGCCACCATCCAGATGTCCAGATGAAGATTGCAGCTGTGACCTGGCTCTGCAGACTCCTGTTGTTAGGAGCTGTTTGGACTGTTTTTGTCTGAGTTCCTCCCAGAACTGGTGCGGTCCGGTCCAGTCCGGCCTGCCAGAGTTCTAGTTCCACCCTGTTGCTGAAGAGGCTTCTCATCCTCCTTTTTGACCAGAACTTTGTTCTCTTTCCTGACTCTAAAAGCACTCGAAGCCTTTTCGCTACACATGACAGGTATTGATTTGACACTTGGAACGAATGTGTTTTCCATAGATGTCTGACCCAGATGGCCTTTAGGATGAGGTCGACGGTTCTGCTGTAGGAAGCCACACACGTGTCGGTCATCTCGGCCGGGTTAGGGTGCAGCCTCGTCGGGCATGTGTGTGTGTGTGTGTGTGTGTGTGTTCACTACTTATAGAAATGTCAGATTTTCTAGACCTTTTTGTAGCTGGAAGAACCGCAGTGGGGTGGAAGACCAGAATACAGCTGCTGTAGGTTTGTGGAAATGTCTGATGAATTCCTTTTTTACGTATAGATTTGTAAGTTTGATCTTACATGACCACTGCTGTACCACCTTCTGCTGGCAAAGGATGTTTATAATCATTTTAGTTTTTTGCCTGTTGCATTTTAGCTTTCTTGGGTTATTTTTCAGTACATGAATAAACTGAGCTGGTATAAACACACGATCTTGTTCAATGATACAGCGTTGTAACCCCTGCACGACGGATCCTGTTTGATTACCCTCTCTCAGTAAGGAATACGTAGAAATCATGAAAGTCAGAAACGTAGACCGGTGGATCATTACAGACGAGTTCGTGTGGACAACCCAGCACCCGGCGGTCAGCAGGTCCAACTGACCATGGAGAGGAGAAATGTAATAAAGCATCCAACATTTAATGCATGTGAGCACGGCTGAAGCTATATCTGCTTCATCAAGCTATCATGCTTTCATGTCCTCAAGGTTCGGTTATAGTGTTGCAAGCTCTCGCATGCCAAAAATAATGGAGGTAATAAACGAAATCATAAGGAGAGCAAAGATGAGCTCGGGCTCGCTTCGTGCGAGTGGAATCAGGCAGAAGATGAGGAGTGGTCCAACTGAACAGGAAACCGCAGAAGAGGTGGTACCGAAGAAGGCCAACTGAAGAGACGTCTCAGGAAATGAAAGTCCTCTGGAAAGTTCTGGACTTTGGGTGGAGACGGAGACCAGCTTACAAATATGACATCATATGGGTTTGGCTGTCTTGTGTTGAACTAAGATATGAAACTGACGAATGAACACATTGTTTTGCTGTCTTGTGATAATAAGATGTATGTAACTGGCAAATATTACATTGTTTAGGCTGTCTCACGACTGTTTGAGATATTGCTTGGCAGTTTTTCAGAATATGATATAAAGAGGGCAGCTCAGAGTCGACAGGGGAGAGCGAGAGCAGAGGTAGAGAGTAGCAGGGGCGGAGACTTAGAGAGTGTGAGACAGTTAGTGTCGACACAAGTCGACCAGTTACTCTCAGGGAGATTTTAGTAACAGCATCCTCCTAAGGGGATTGGTTAATCTTATATTTACCTTTTTTTGTATTTTTTAATTTTGAAATAAATTTTTTGGAAAAAGAATCCTCGTTCTCGATTCTTAAAGGTCTCTTTTAAAGCCCAACCAGCCATTCCTCCCCATCCCTGCATATTTCTCTCCTTCTGCTCCCTCACATCATCACTCAAACATGCACATAGGACCTTGGGGGGTGGACAAGTCAGGGGGGTATGGACCCCATTTCCGCATTCCTGTGGCAACCTGCCCCCCAATTTTATTTGCACCTTATATACTTCCACCGACGACATTCCACGCAAACACACACCTAGGGCCTTGGGAGTGAGCACATTCAACGGCACTTGGCAGGGGGATTTCTCAGCCTCCTCCCAGTGCCGGTGCCCACTTCCAATTTTAAACTGCACTTAGACACCGAGGGCTGAGGGTGCAGGTGGGGTGGTGCGGTGGTATCAGCTGGCATAGGCCGGACAATGCCCGCACTGCCCGTTCAGCACAGTCATGGAATACACCTCATCAACACACAACATTATATTGGAGCAGGCGAAGGGAGACTAGGGGTCTTAGCACACCTCTGTTGTTGCTTGGCTTCCTGGGGCTGGAGGCTAGGAGGGAGATCTGGCCATCTGGTTGGGGTCTGGGGTGGTGGGTTGCTGTGCTCGGCGTTGGGCGGGGGAGCCTGCTCATCAGCACCCCAGCAGAAAGGGTCAAACTCTGGTGACCGGTGATGGTTGTACCCCTTGTGCAGCAGTACCGGGACCAGAGTGAATAGGGTGTGTATGGGGAGCATGAGTGGGTGTCCGGCGTGCATTTTTGTAAGTCTTTGGTTGTATGTGTATGTGTGAGCATGAGGGAGGGAGTGTGTGACTGTGTTTGTGTATGACTGTAAATGTCAGGTGGGGCCTTTGACTCCTCCCCTCTCCTGGGACTTCTTTTGATGATATAGATCTTTGTCCCCCCTCCCCCTGCCACACCTGGTGTGGAGTGCGGTGCCTTGGTCTGCCTGAGTGTTCGTGGCTCCCAGGTCAGGGGGTTTAAGATTTTTGGCGCCTGCCTGGTCGATCCCGGTGGCTGCCTGGTGGAGTCTGGGTCCCTGGGCTCTGCTGGGTCCCCGGCAGGGGTGGTCGCCCCCTGGGTCCCGGGTCGCTGGGTCCCGGGCTCGGCCGGCTAGGGGGTGGGAGGCTGCGGGCGGGCCTGTCGGCTTGCCGCTGATTTCTCCAGGGACTCTGCTGGCTGCTGGTTGTGGCCCCCCAGGGCGATCCTCTGTGCCTCTCGAGGGGGGCGGGGGCCTTCCTGGTTGCAGTCTCCTTGGGGTTCCTGTGTTCTGGAGCATCTCCTGGATCTCTGGGACTTGGAGCTCCCCCCGTCTCCTACACATCTTTAGGGGGCGGATCTGTGGTCCCTCACACTCTCTATTGGACGCTTCTACAGAGAAACCTTACATAAACAAGCGCGTGTACACACACAGGTGCCCACATGGTGCTCTCATAAGTATGGACTTGGGCACGTTCAACACATGTGTTAAGGCTGTCGTTGCCACTAAATGCACTGTGATTAATTATCGTGTGATTGTTCAGTTAAACAATGTTGATTTTATATTTCCTCATCAGGTTAACACAGTGATAGCTTGCTCCTGATGTATTGTTGTGTGTCCCATTTTTTTCTCTTTCTGCAGGTCTAGAAGCAGACTCTTGTTAATTATTGTTTATTTTTGTGGACCCCCCCCCCCCCCCCTTCTCCCCACCTTTTGTCTTTTCCTTTCTCTTTCACCTCTGACTCCGTGTCTGATCGGAATTACAAAGCATTCAAAAACAACAACAATAAAGTTTTCAGTATCAGGCGTGACATTAAAAGCAGACGCTGTGATGCTCCACCTGAGAGTAAATCTGTAAGGCTTGTCACCAGCATTCAGACATCAGTTCTGTTTGCTTCACAGCCAGACAGGACACGGAAAAAAAAACTTTGAGTGGGAGCCCCGACCAGACCTCCAGGAGAGGTAAGCCACCTTGAATCGCTTGTTCCTGTGCTTCAGGACTTGTTTTCAGGTTGTGACAGATTAAAAAAAGATACCTTAGGTAATGGGAGCAAGTCTCCCCTCCCCCTTGGTAGCAGGCCACCCTAAGGATTATACATCATAACGGTTCGTTGGTTCAAACAGGCTCTGCTTTGCACTCAAAAAGTCTTTGTTTAGCGTGGGAAGGAACCATTTCAAAGGGAGGATTAATTAGATTACCGTAAATCCTCTAATACAGGCCCGGGCCTGTATTAGAGGATTTACGGTAATCGATAAGTCCATGTTAGCCTGATCAACTACCAGGAATCATTTTCTAGTTACCACCGCCCACATTGCTGACAGGGGTGCAAATTAATCCTGATAGGACCCAAATAATAGATGCCTGGATGGCCTCCAGTATTAAACTTCCGCCCTAGTATTTAAAACCACTAAATAACGGGAGAGTTCTGTTAAGGGCCATTCAGTCTCTTTACCAGAGGAGCGTGAGTTTGGTCTGCATAGCCGGTAGTAAGTCGGACCTGTTCCCGGTGAGGGTTGGACTCCGCCAGGGCTGCCCTTTGTCACCGGTTCTGTTCATTACCTTTATGGACAGAATTTCTAGGCGCAGCCGTGGTGTGGAGTGTGTCGAGTTTGGTGGCAGGAGAATCTCGTCTCTGCTTTTTGTGGATGATGTGGTCCTCCTAGCTTCATCCAGCTCTGACCTTCAGCTCTTGCTGGGTAGGTTCGCGGTCGAGTGTGAAGCGGCTGGGATGAGGATCAGCACCTCCAAATCTGAGACCATGGTTCTCGACTGGGAAAGGGTGGCTTGCCAACTCCGGGTCGGGAGAGAGGTCCTACCTCAAGTGGAGGAGTTTAAGTATCTCGGGGTCTTGTTCACGAGTGAGGGTAGGAGGGATCGGGAGATCGACAGGCGGCTTGGTTCAGCGTCTGCAGCGATGCGGACGCTGAGCCAATCTGTCATGGTGAAGAGGGAGCTGAGCCAGAAAGCCAGGCTCTCGATTTACCGGTCGATCTACGTCCCAATCCTCTCCTATGGTCATGAGCTTTGGGTAATGACGGAAAGAACGAGATCACGGATACAAGCGGCCGAAATGAGTTTCCCCCGTAGGGTGGCCAGGCTCAACCTTATAGATAGGGTGAGGAGCTCGGACATCCGGGAGGGACTCGGAGTAGAGCCGCTGCTCCTCTGGATCGAAAGGAGTCAGTTGAGGTGGTTTGGGCATCTGGTCAGGATGCCTCCTGGACGCCTCCCCGGGGAGGTGTTTCGGGCTTTTCCTGCCGGCAGGAGGCCCCCTGGTTGACCCAGGACACGTTGGAGAGGTTACATCTCCAATCTGGTCCGGGAACACCTTGGGGTCCTGCCGGAGGAGCTGGTGGAAGTGGTCCAGGGATAGGACAGTCTGGAGCTCTCTTGTTGGGATGCTGCCCCCGCGACCCGGACCTGGACAAGCAGAGGAAGACGATGACGACGACGACCCTTCCTACTACGGATGTCCCATTCAGATTTCGATATCAGAAGTAATTCGATATCGGCCCAAAAACAGTGTATCAAATTATATCAGACGGCATCAGAAATCTCCAATATAAGCAGTACATTAAGGTTCACATTTTTACAACCAATGGTTAAAATAAATTGTCATTTATTCAGACTTACTTTCATTGGCTCTTGTTCTCCGATTGAGTAATATACTTGTTCCAGCCTTTCATACAACTTCTTACTCCACAAGGGGCGGTATTAAGTCCAGTTTTATTTAATGTAGTGATTAATACTATTTTTGAGAAAGTTGATGATAGGTTTGGTAAATCTCTATTTACACATCTGGAGATGTGGGAGGAATTTTTAGCATTTGTTTTCTCAGACTCAGAAGGCTTTAGATCAAATTGTGCAGTGGGCAAATAACTGGGGATTCATGTTATCTATAGTAAAAAGTAAATTTATGATCTTTGGCTTAAAAAGGAAAATCCCATCTATGAATGTTCATATTCATGGCTCTGTGATTGAAAGGGTTAAAGTTTTAAAGTTTTTGGGTTTGTGGTTCAACGAGAAATTAATCTGGAAAACACATATAGAAAGATTAGTAAACAAACGTGAAAAGGTAATTAACGTCATGAGGAGTTTATCAGGTAGTAGCTGGGGAGCGGAGAGAAGTACTTTACAGTTAATTTATAGGGCTTTGATTAGGCCAGTTTTGGATTATGGATGTGTGATTTTTGGGAAAGCTTCTAAATCTGTGTTGTGTAAATTGGATTATGTGCAGTTTAAGGCCCTAAGAATCTGTTGCGGAGCTTTTAGATCTACATCAATTCCAGCTTTGCTGGTTAAAACAGGGGAGTACCCTTTGAAAATGAGGAGGGAAAAACTAGGAGTTCATTAGTGGACTAGACTGGCCGGGTTTGGTGGCAGCTTGGCGTCTAAATGTCTCATAGATGATTGTTGGGAATCCAGTGAAGATCAGGATAAGGATAGATTCCTAAATCATGTTGTAAAACTAGTAAATCTCCTAGGACTACAAAAGGATATGGTGGTGGGGTTAGTGTGGTCTATAATACCGTTTTGGAAATCACCTGAGCCAGGACTTGTTTTGGAGTTACTAGGATTAGAAATAGCGGTTGCCATCAGACTGTTTGTATTTACAGTAAGTCAGCACAAAGATGCTAGCTGTCCAAATTTATACTGATGGATCTAAAGAAACTACATTTAATAGAGCTAGTTTTGTTTTTTTTATTGTCGAGCCACAAGTTAAATCAAGTTTTCGTGTGACAGATAAATTGTCTGTTTTTTCTGTAGAGCTTTTGGCTATTTTGTGGGCAATGAAGTGGATAGTGGAGCATAAACCATCTCACAGTATTGTTTGCTCTGATTCTGCTGCTGCACTGTTGACTCCAAGTAACGGGACATCTGAGGCACGGAATGACCTAGTTGTGGAGATTTTGTGTTGTATTGAAGACGCTGAGAATGTGGGTTCTAAGGTGGTATTTGTCTGGGCCCCTGGACATACTGGAATTTTGGGAAATGAAATAGCAGATGCATTGGCCAAAGTCTCCATCCTTAGAAATAGCATTGATCATCATCTTCCTCTGGGAAAAAGAGAATGTTGTAGTAAATGCAACGACTATTTGAAAAATTTGTGGCAGAAAGAATGGGAAGGGGAACGTAGAGGGAGACTTTATTTTTCTTGTCAGCCGTCAGCTCAGTTGGCAACCCTTGTTGTCGTAGAGATAAAGTGGTGATTACCAGAATGAGATTGGGGCACTGTGGTCTGGCAGCATGTTTATTTAGGATTGGTAAACGTGTTGTGTGAGTGTGGTAGTTCCAAAACTGTTGTTCGTGTTTTGTTGTCATGCAGCAAACACAATAGTGAGAGGCGGCAACTTTTTATGGGGCTGGTTGATTTGGGGTTGGAATATTTTTCCTTTAAGTCCTTTTTTCGATTAGTGCAAATTCCCAATGCGTATATAGCTTACTCAAGGATATGATGTAGCAGTAATATAACTGTGGAGGGCAGCATTGCGCATTCCAGCGTATGGCCTACCGGAAGTTTTTTGAGTGACGTTTTAAGTGACGTAATATTCAAGCGACTGTACCGCGCGCGTTGTTTGGAGGCAGGATTTGTGGATAGACGGTGTTGTCTCGTATTATTTCGTTCTCGGGGTAATAAATTGTTATTTTTCCACCGAACACTTTTGGGGTAAGAAGCGTTAGCATGTTTAGCCCCCGGTCCGTTCCGAGCTCGGCCCGCATGCAGCAGAGCAGAACCCCCGGGAGGAAGAGCGTCTCCGGTGCGGCCACCGGCCTCCAGCTCTCCGCTCGGAGGGCGTCGCTGCCGGCGAGGTGAAACAAGCTGACCAGATGCAAATTTATTGCTTCTTGTATTAATGAAATAGTTAAAAGTACCCTAATATTGCGTAAGTTGTGGTTCCGTTGCACGCTGGAGAACAGACAGGTGCAGGTCCATCACTGTTTTCTGGTTAAACCCACACTAGAACCTGACCAGAACATGTCCGTGGAGCCTCAGTAGACAGAGCTCTGCTCACCTCCGTTCCTCTCTCCTGTAGGGCCACCCCCGCCCGACTACAGAGCCACGCAGCCGCAGAAACCATCAGCTATGATGTGCAGACGTTCGGCTCTTCTCTGCCTGTCAAAGTCATGGAGGCTCTGACCATGGCTGATGGTGAGAGCAGCTCCCGTACTGCTGTGCTGTCTCTAGTGTGCCTCCTTGTGTCGTTACTGAACAGGTGTGTGTGTGTGTGTGTGTGTGTGTGTGTCTTTAGCTGACGACCAGATCTCAGTCAGGGTGACTGAAAGCAGCTGGGCCTGGATGGTCTGTGGAGAGAGACTCATCATCTGGAAGATCTGCCAGGCGGCTGTAGCTAAGGTTTAAAACTAGCGTTAATGTTGAGGGACAGATGCTGACTGATGCATCTACAGAGACGTAAATGTTGCTGCACGTGGTTTACTGGCTTTGTCCAACCCCGTTGAAGCTGTTCATCATGTACCAAGACCACATCTGTAAACTCTCACCCTGAACTGTGCCTTCCCACAGCTGTCCGTGTGTAAGGAGCTGCAGCTGCCCAGCAGTGAGTACGACTTCACGGCTGACGTTGTAGCTGTGACGTCCACCGTTCCTTTGGAGATGGCTGCTGCTCAGTCCGTTTCAGTCCTGGCCGTGAGTGCAGAAGGAACGGCTCGCTTCTGGCCCTGTCTGGCCCATGAGGGAAACTACACAGAGTCCAGTGTGGACCTGGGAGACCTCTGCAACTTTGTTGTTGCTGTCAGAGTACGTGATCGTCAGAAAGGCTCGTTCTATCTGGATTCATTTGCAGATGATGAACAGGAAAGCTAGGGGTCTGTAAATGTGTCTTAAATTCACCATCTCCCCAGCTGTGCTGCCGTGTCTCCATCTCCAGAATGTTCTTACACCAGGGTCAGAGTTTGCTGCTCAGTTTCTCCTTTATAATTCACAAAGTTAGTGTAGAAAATGACGTTCGCAGTTTTCAGACCCTGTTTTGTAAGTGAGGCTCCGGCTGTTTAACGTGTGTTTTCTAATACACGCTGGTAGGGGTAGGTAAAGGTCGCAGCAGCACTCGGGACCGGTCTCAGAGACAGCAGCAGGTAAACGGCCGGGAATGCATCTGCTCTAGTCCGTCAAACACAGGTCAGAAGTTCGTGTCTGACACGATAATGGAGTTTAATAGAGTCACCTGAAGTTGAGGGCGTTTCTCAGTAATCAGGGTATCCGCGGGTCCTTAAAAAGTCTTAAAAAGTCTTAAATTAGCTTTTCAGTTCAGTTCACTTTATTTCAAACATATACATTCACCAACATTTCATAAAAATCATTCCACGCAATTGTTTGAAAAGGAGTAGGGAGAAGTGTATACTTATTTAGCCCTACCCCCTCAGGTTTACATCCTCATCATCAAAATGTAAACAACAAAACAGTTACAATGCCTTCAAAAAAACCCACAAAAACAAAAAAAAAGCAATAGTAATAAATAAATTAAATTCTCATGTTCAACTAGAACTATATTTAGATTTTCTAATTTGTAGAAGAGATTAAACATCAGTTTGCATGCCGTCCTGGGTTAATTGCATTTTCTTCAGTCTTATACTTATTTAACATTTCTTTTTTGAGTTTTATTTTAAACTGGTTTACATTACTACTATCCTTTATTTCTTCTGTTAACTCATTCCAGAATTTAATTTTCCAAATTTAAGGCCTTAAAAATCCTTAAAAATGACAAATAATCCTTAAATACAGTTTCCAAAGGTCTTAAATGACCAAAGAACCAACAAACAAAATCATTTTTTTTTCTATTAAATTTAGTGAATTTCTAGTTAGTATTCAGCATTTTCTGTGTACGATGTTGGCGTAAGCGGAACCGTACGCATTCGATTGGTTGTGAAAGGGGACTATTTTTAGATGAGCACATTAGCTGGTTAAGCTAGTGGGAGCTTGCGCCATGGGGAAGTGCAAATTTGATGGTAACTGGATGGTTAATCCCACTTTTGTGATGTGGTTAGTACCGGTTCCAGGCAATAGCTGGAAATTATAGCTTAAATTTAATTTCAAAAGTAGCTTAAATTTGGTCAAAGTGGCCTTAAAAAAGGTCTTAAAAAGTCTTAAATTTGGCTCCCTTAAACCTGCAGATAACCTGGTAATGTGTCGGTGGGATTAAAGAGATTCGTTAGATTATTTAATCACAATTTATTCTCTCAGTTTTGTAATCTCGTCAGCAACAACTTCAGTTTAACGTTTTTATAGAGGTCACGTGTGTGTAAGTTCTCTTCAAGGCCGCTGAAGGTCACGCAGGTGACATACGAACAGGTGAACCCCTAAAAAACCGTTTCAATCAGAACTCCTCTGCAGTGGATCAGCTCTTTATCCTGGCTAGGGGGCGGGGGTGCACACGTGTTCATTTTCTCTAGTCCTGATTTGAGTCGTCAGCTTCAGCTCCACCGTTTGGACCTGTGAGTGCTGAGCAGTGGCCGGATTTGCTCTGTTCTCCTAGGGTGGGAGCTTCATCGTGGCATCAGTCAGGAGTCAGCTGCTGAGAGTGAGCGCAGATTCCTCCGGGAAGCTTCAGTGTCGAGCTCTGCAGCAGGGTCAGGGTGTGCTCTCTGGCATCGGCCGCCGTGTCTCCAGCTTGTTCGGCATCCTCTCTCCACCAGCCGATGACGTGGTGAGTTACGTTAGATCCTCCGTACACTCTGGGTAAGTTCCCTTCCTGGGTCATTGCCCAGAATCTCTCAGAGACGTTATTATTAATGTCTGAGCATCAGACCGACCCAACAGTAAAGTTGGCTGCAGCATTGAAAGTGTCTCCTTTCCTGAATGTCCTTCTCTCAGCTCCACAGCGTTGTGTGGGTGGGGAGAACCAGCTGCTTGTACACCCTGACCTCCTCCAGGCTGAGTAAGTGGGAGGTGGACGACAGCTCGGAGCACCAGATCCTCAGCTGGGACACCTGCAAAGCTCTAAACGAGAGCATTGTTGAGTCCATTTGGGTCAGTACCAAAGCAGCAGCCGTGCTACACCATCCCAGGTGTTTGTCGTCAGTGTCCTACGATCTACTGTAGTGCTAGCGTAAAGGACATGGGGGGGGGGGGGGGGCTGATATTCACACAATAGATGTGGTGGAAGGTTTGACATCTGTCATGTCGTCACAAAATACAAACGCATCTTTGTGTTCATTAAAGAGCAAGTCACCCCCTACCTGAGTATTACTCCGCTCCCACTTCTTGTTTGAAAAATACAACAAATGCTGTTTGCTAGCAGACCGAGGGGGCGGAGCCGCTAACAAATACACACACAGGCTCACAACGACATTGTGACATCATATGGTACTAGCTAAAGTTCTAGGGTACCTCTTAGCCAATAGCAGTGGCAGATTTAAATTCAAATGCAGTGCAGAGTTTTTACCTGACGACGGCACAACACTGACAGTTTCAGGCAGAAAATTTAAAGTTTAACTAAAATGCACTGAAGTGCAAAACTGTTGACTGCACATGTCTGCAGCACGATCAGACACACATTTATGTAGTTTATCAAAAAAAAGGTGATTTTGGGGGCGACTTAAGCGCTGACAAACTGTGGTGGTAGACGTGTCTCACGTCTACACGATTCCACCAAGTCTGTCCACTCTGACTGACACGGAGATCTCTCTCTCTCTCCAGGGTTCAGAGAGCAGCTACGGTGGCTTGAAGAGCGGGGCAAACGTTGCATACCTGGACATGAAGTTAAGCCAGTGAGTGTGTGTGTGATATTTACGTACTTCCTTCCTGTACTCGGGGTATCCGCGGGTCCTTAAAAAGTCTTAAATGAGCTTTTCCTGTTTCCATGTTCAGCCTGTATGGAGAAACTCCGAGTAACCGATTATAATCAGAAACAAGAAGTACAGTGATGCCTCGTTTATCGCGGTAGATGCGTTCCAGACCTGGCCGCGATAGGTGAAAATCCGCCAAGTAGGGACACCATATTTACAGTACAGTACTTTATTGAATTATTGTATGATCACATTCTCTTTTTGTGGGTAAAACTCAAGAAAAACATTTTTTTACTTGTTTTTTTTTTATAGTTTTATTACAAAAAGTGCATTTTATGATGTAATTGATGAAAAAAAAAACAGGAATTTCTTGATATTTCGCATAGAAAAATACCGCAAATCGGCGAATTTCCCTTGAATAAGGCTCCAAAGAAAAAATCCGCGAAGTCGTGAATCCGCGATAAACGACCCGCGAAGTAGCGAGGGATCACTGTAAAAATGTTTTTTCAGGGAACCACGCCTTCAATGTTTTTGACAGTTGACTGCTCAACCTACGACCACACGTTTTGGACGCCGAGCGCTTCAGCGTGGTGCGTGGAAGGGTCAGGGGAGCATTAAAGTCACGAGAGTAGACATCTAAAGGGAACTTCTGTACAGGGAGTGAGCGGGACGGTATTTGTGTGTAGACAAGCAGACTACATGCCATGTCGAGCAACCCGCTGAAGACTTCTGCTCAGTTGCTGGGACCAGCAGCTGTCCTCATGTTCATGTCCTGAAACGTTCTCCTAGCATCACCACTGCTGAGGTGTCCGATACAAACAGCTGCTGGTCTTGGACTCGTCCATCTCCAGCCGAGCAGGTTGAGGACAGAATCAGCGTGACGGTGTGTGTGTCGTGTGCAGCCCGTCAGACTCTGTGCTGTGTGTGTGTTCTAAGATCTGGCCTGGTGGTTTTGGCTGCAGCCTGGCACCCGTCGGACACCCCGTGCCTGGCTTACTTCTGTCTCGTCACCCTGCAGGACGATGGGTCCACCATTTCTGACCAGTTTACCGTCCAGGTGACCAAGTACAGCTGTGTATTCCAGGTCAGTGTCTGTTGAAAGAACGATTCCTATTCCGTCCAACAGGCCAGAATCTCACTTACTGGACTCGTGGATTCATTTTGCTGCTCAGCTCACGAAGAAGAAGAAGAAGAAAATGTGGAAAGTTCAGGATTTTGTCCACCATCACTACTGGATCCAAACTTCTAGAGTAGTTGGTTTGAAACAGTTTAAGGTGTTGTAACCTCAGCTACCAAGACATTGGGAAGCAATGCATCTGAATACACTCTTGAAAGTAGCTTGTGTCCTTCCTGGAGCAGCTTCAAACCAACAGAGTTGACCTTTTATTTATGAGTGATTGTAGGTAAGAACCTGCAGGGGTGACTGCTTATCGAGAGGTTTGCTTCAGCACCCTGCAGAGACAGGAACACGGTTTCATGCTGCTGTTGTTCATTTAAACTCACTTTCTCTAAGAATTCGGTCATGTACAGCAACATTTGACAGGGTGTGTTGTTTATTGTAATTGTCTCCGTTTTGATCAGCTGCCTGGTTTTTCCAGACTAAGGAGGCTCTGCAGGCTACACGCTTGCTGTTGCCCTGGTCCCCCAGCGCCACCGCCTTCCTGTACAACGAGGAGTTGGTGTTTGCTTGTTCGACGGGCACCAGCAGGGCAACGCTGCCAGATGAGAAAATCAGCTTTACCTCACCAGGTGAGAGAGGGCAGCAGCCATGATTTTTACCTGCCATTTCATCTCAGACAGCGATTGTTACATGAGGCCGCACGCTGTTAGGAAAACGCACGCCTGTCTCATTATCAGTAAATATTAATAATGAACGGTAGGATTTTGGCCTGTGATATAGAATTACTTAAAGAGCAAGTCACCCCCTGCCAGATTCTTACTCAACTCCCTCTTCATGTTTGAAAAATGCAACAAATGCTGTTGCCTTGCAGACCGAGAGGGCGGAGCCGCAAACCAATACACACACAGGCTCACAACGACATTGTGACATCATAAGGACCAGTTTACATCATAGTATACCTCTTAGCCAATAGCAGTGGCAGATTTAGGCCCTGTCCACACGTAGCCGGGGATCCGCCAAAACGTAGATATTTTTCTACGTTTTGGCCTGTCATCCACACCAAAACGGAGTTTTTTCACACGAAAACGGATCTTTTTAAAAACTCCGGCCAAAGTGAAGATCTGCGTTTTCTCCGTTTTGGGTGTCTGCGTGTGGACGGACAAAACCGGAGTTTTCAGGTCCGCAACGTCACTTTCCGCGACAAAAAAATGCTGACATCACGTGTGCGACCTGTGTTTACACTAGCCGACAGCATGGATGCCCTCAGAGCTGCGCTCGCTTTATCAATTGTCCAAGCGCTTTCTGCTTGTTTGTTTTTGCAAGCGGAATTACTGCTCCTTGCAGAAGACCACAGACGAAGGACGAGGTTAAGAACGGGGGAAGTACTGCCGCCTACAGGTCTGGCATGTCCTTAACAACGTATTTATCCGGGTACGTGTGGACAGAGTTTTTTAAAACGAGGTGGTGTGGATGCAAGTTTTTGGAGGGGCGGATATTCATTTTAAAAAAACCCGGCTACGTGTGGACTAGGCCTTAAATTCAAATGCAGCACAGAGTTTTTACCTGACGACGGCGCAACACTGACAGTTTTAGGCAGAATATTTAAATTTTAACTAAGATGCACTGAAGTACCAAATTATTGATGACACGTGTCTGCAGCACGATTAGACACGCGTTTATGTAGTTTATCAGCAAAAAAAAGTTGATTTGGGGGTGACTTGCTCTTTAATACCGGCTAACTGGATGCACTTGCTGATTGTGAGTTTGTGGAATGGTGCGATAGCAACTGTCTGGATTTAAATGTCACAGAAACAGATTTTAGACGTTCCACACCGTCTCTCCCCGGCAGTAGCGTCATGCATGGCAGTGTGCTTGAGGTGGTGAATAAAGACAAATACGGTTCTTGGATTGACACGAATACAGACTCCATTTTTAAACGTGGCTGGCAGAGAATTTATCTTTTAAGGAAATTCAATTAATTTTAAGTAAATAAAAGGTTTCTATACAACTTTTATTGCTGCTTCATAGAGCGCCGTTTAACGTTTGATTTGCTGGTACAAGGGTTTCAATTCAATTCAAAAATACGTTATTAATCCCAGAGGAAAACTGATTAACTTGATTGATCTGTCGGTGAAAAACAAGAACAAACTGCAAACATCAAAATCTGCTCTAAAATCACTGGAGACCTTTATGGGAGGAGCAGGCGCTAAAGAAGGTTTCTCTGGCTTCGTGCTGCTGGTGTGCACCGCGGTGGTCAGACCGCCACCGATCAGCTGATCTCAGTGCAGCTAAACAAAAGTAAAGAAACTAGATGAACCTCCCACCTTATTGTAATGTTATTGACATAAAACACAGCAGAGCGTCATTTTACCTGCAGGCATTTCTAGGCACATCCAAGGTGTTGAAGGGATCTGTTTTGGTGGCCTGAGGATCAGGTCTCTGCTTTTAGCAGATGATGTGGTCCTGTTGGCTTCACCAGAACATGATCTTCAGCTTTCGCTGGAGCGGTTCGCAGCCGAGTGTGAAGCAGCTGGGATGAGAATCAGCTCCTCTAAATCTGAGACCATGGTCCTGATTCGGAAAAGGGTAGAATGCCTTCTCCGGATCAGGGATGAGGTCCTGCCCCAAGTGGAGGAGTTTAAGTATCTCGGGGTCTTGTTCACGAGTGAGGGAAAACTGGAGCGTGAGATCGATAGGTGGATCGGTGCTGCATCTGCAGTGATGCGGGCGTTGTACCGGTCTGTCGTGGTGAAGAGAGAGCTGAGTCAGAAGGCGAAGCTCTCGATTTACCGGTCGATCTACGTTCCTACCCTCACCTATGGTCACGAGCTTTGGGTAGTGACCGAAAGAACGAGATCGCGGATACAAGCGGCCTAAATGAGTTTTTCCCCACATGCCTAGGGCACACTGACAGGAACAGTGTAGGAAAACATGACTGAACTGTGTGTTGACGTCTGTGTTCAGGTGATGGCATACGTGGAGGAGGCCACTGCGCCAACCTGCCGGTGTTTTTCTCTCTGAACAGTGGCCTGGTAGTGGTCGTGGCCAGAGAGAGTGCTTCCATCCTGCCGGAGACCATGGAGGACTCGCTGTGCTCCTCCCTGGCTGCAGCCCCTGAGGTGACTCCAGCTTTGCGCTCAGAAATTAAAATACACAATCTAATCTAATCTAGCCCATGGATGTAATTTTGGGGGGGGGGACAGGGGGGACATGTCCCCCCACTTTTTCCAAAGTCAAGTTTTGACCCCTGCACTTTTTACCATCCAAAAACAATATTACGCTATATTAAATTGACACTGGTTGAGCTCTAGGACCAAGCGGAAAACTACCGTTTGTGTTGAAGCCTGTTTCCTATTAGAGCATACTGTAAAGCTACCCCCCCCCCATGCCCCCCCACTTCTAAAGTGAAAATTACGTCCATGCTGTAGCCTAACAGTCTGTTGGACCAGCCTGACCTTAGACGGTGTCTGGTAATTCTAAAGTTAAACATCTTTTTAATGTTTAGACGGTTCAACTTTGGGAACGTCGATGCGATTCTGTAACAAGACGAATGAAATACATCCTAAAAGTAGCAGATGTGACTGAAACATGTGATTATCCACCTTCTTGTGCAGTAATTCCATTTTTGCTGTTAAAGGTTTCTGCCGTGGAGACTCCAACCAGGAAAGCGCCTGTGGGCCAGGAGGACAGGACCAAGCTGCTGAAGGCTGCCTTCCTGCAGTTCTGCCGGTGTGTAAGACGTACCTTTGAGTGGAGCGACAACTACTGGACTGGCTCTGGTCATTCTATTAGATGATAACCTTTTGTTCTCCTCGTCAGTAACGACCTGGTGGGAGCGCAGACGGTCACTGATGAGCTGTTCCCTGCTGACGGGGAGGCTGGAGCTGAGCTGGACAGCGTCGTGACTCGGATCAACCTGGACCTGATAGATGATTACCCAGCCTCAGACCCTCGCTGGGCTGAGTCTGTCCCAGAAGGTGGGCTCTCTTTGCTTTGCAAGTCATTTCAACCCCTGAATGAAATCAGATACGACTCAAAAGTCTTCTGTTACCAGCTCTGGTGGAGCACCGGGGGCTGGGCACCGTTTCCATTTGAACGATTCCGGTTCTTATTGATTCTTGATTCCAATTCTTTCAAGAGTCATTGTCCAAAACCTTTACATGTTTAACTGAGCCTGCTGACCACAGGTCTTACTTGATGAAAGTCTGAACTTCTGCAGGAATTTGAAGGAGCGTCTCTGATGAGAGGTAACCATAAACGTCCGGCTGTTTGAGTTAAAACTCAGGATGAGTGAGAATCGACAGCAATGACTCGGGTAAAGTGGAACACTTAAACGTAGCTATCAACAGGCTACATGGAGCAGAAATAAGGTGTTTGTTTGCATTTTCGCTGCTGGGAAGGGATGGAGGAGGGAGATGTGACGCCTCACACCTCCGCAGGCTGCAGAGTAAGAGCAACGGGCTCCCCAAGGCGTTGACTGTAATTTCACGGTTTTTTCCACGGAGATCGGCGGCTGAAGCCACACTTTAGCGCACCTGCACACACACTTCCAGCGGATGCTTCTTTGTAGGTATTCGGCTACACCTTCCACCGGTCGGTGGACCGATGATCAACGCTAGCAGTTGAAATTTGAAAACATTAAACAATTCTGGGGAAAAGTTGCACGTAGTCCTGGTTCCAATCGATGCTCCATACTCAACCCTAGGGTTGTCACTAGGGATGTGTATTGGTGAAATTCTGGCGATACGATACTTATCACGATACAGGGGAGGCGATACGATATATATTGCGATATATTCAGTCGGACGATATTAGCGATTTTTTTAGACTAAAATTATTGTAGGAAAATTCAATAAATGGTCCAAACTGATACTTAACATGATTAACATGAGGTATCTGAACCATAATAGAGGGATTTACATTTCAGTGGTGGAAACAAACTCCATTGCACCCTACTGCTGACTAGCGGACAGCATTTGATTTGCACCAAAAGAAAAGAAAATGCACAAATGTTTGCACGTAAATTCTTCCCAAAAAATCGATACACAGCTTTTGAACATCGATATAATATCGCAGGAAAATATTTCGCGATACATTGCTATATCGATATTTTCTTACATTCCTAGTTGTCACGGTGTGAAGATTTAACCTCACGGTTATTGTGACCAAAATTACCACGGTTTTCGGTATTATCGCGGTATTTTTTTAAACGTGCTACATTTTCCCACAATTAAATAAACCCTGTATGTCAGGAAATATTGTCCTCAGTTTGTGTCTAAATTTAGCCTAAAATGTGTTATTTTGTATTTATGTTGTTTATTTGTTTACATTTTTTCCCTTTAGTCTTTAAAATACCAATATTTGCCCATAACTTCTTATTTTTTGTCTGTCATCATTTTAAAAATATTAGACCAGATGATACTCAGTACTCAAGTAGCCTTCTAATCAGATACTTTTTTACCCTTACTTGAGTAATAAACCCTATATCAGGAAAATATCGTCCTCGGTTTGTGTCCTTCCAGTGAGCTTTGCAGATGTGGGAAAATGTCATCACACAGTAATCGTTGTTAAATTCATAATTATTCTCGGAGAGAGACCAACTCTTATCGGCCCCTGGGAGCCCCGTAATGCATAGCGTCATTTCAACATGGCGGTGTCCGCGACACGGTTTATATGCAGGTAGCGGCGCTGCGGCTGCTTTATATAGCGACTCGTTGCATTCTCCCTCAACCCAAATCCTCGGATCACGCATTTTAGCTAAAGCGCTAACGTTAGCTTGCCTTGCGTTGACTGTAGAGTTGTGGGTGATGGGCACGCAGATGTGTCATGAGATTTGAAGCGTTGCTGCCTTTCACAGACACTTTTTCTGCTCGTGCTGCAAACAGGATAGCCGTCTTCTATCAGCTGTCCCTCGGCATTCTTCAGATATCCAAAACATGCCCGTACTTCCCACTTTGTCTTCTTTGAGGGATAATAAATGTCCTGAGCGCTGCCGTCTCCTCCTTTGGCCATTATTTCAGCTTTAGCTTCAAGAAAGTTTTGGTTGTAAACAACAAAGTGCGCATGTGCCGCCGGCAACTTCAGCAGATGATACGGTGGCTGGTAAGGGTCACCGCGCCTACACCGCAGCCACGCTAATCCACCGAGATAATATAGTTTTTTTTAAAAACAAGACGGTTATTCTTATTGTCAACTTTTTTTTTACCGGGGTTTACCGCTACACCGGTTACCGCGACAACCCTACTCACGTGGGTCACTCCGCTTACCGAGCCAATCTCAGCTGGGGTCTGGTTTATCTGTGCACATTTTTCATTTCTTCTCCAGAAAGTGCCGGCTTCCCCCTCACGTCCCTCATCATCCTCCACCAACTGGAAGACAAGATGAAGGCTCACTGTTGCTTCATGGACTTTCTGCTGCAGGTGAAAATGGCCGACCTGGATGTCTGTGTGAATAAGGATCATAATAATAATAATACATTTTATTTCAAGCGCCTTTCAAAGCTCTCAAGGTCACTGTACAGGACAAAATATAACAACCAAGCAATACAAACAACAAGAAATAAATGCTAAAAGTAATTCCCAAAGGTAGAGTCGGAGCAGTGCGATGGATAATAGACTAAAAAGAGTAGATGGATGGAGGACAGTTGCAGTGAGTAAGCCAGGCGGAACATGTGAGTTTTGAGTTGAGACTTGAAGGTTGAGAAGGAGTTTATGTTGCGGAGGTCGGGCGGTAGAGCATTTCAGAGTTTTGGAGCCGAGCGACTGAAAGCTCTGGCTCCCATAGTACTAAGTCGAGTGCGAGGAACAGACAGGGAAGGTGAAGATGATGATCGGAGAGAGCGAGTGGGAGTGACAATGTGGAGGAGATTAGAAAGATATGGGGTAGCGAGATTATGGATGGCTTTAAAGGCATGAAGAAGTATCTTGTAGTCAATTCTGTATTTGACAGGGAGCCAGTGAAGTTGCTGCAGGACAGGGTGATGTGATCAAAAGTGGAGGTCTTGGTGATTCTCCGGGCAGCTGAATTTTGGACTAACTGTGACTTGTTGAGTTATAGGCATACAGGCAGGTTGCACCCATGTTGCAGAGGATTCAGCAGATCTTTATGTCCCACTGTTGGATGACTCCTAATGTTTCATGTAGGGTGGTTCCCATATTTTTGCCCTGACCTTCAGCAATGCGTTAAAATAAGAAAATAAAGGGCAGCAAATCCGAGTGGTCCTTACATTTAGCTATTATTGTTTCTGTATTTCTTTCTTTCTGTTTTCATGTCATTTCCTTCGTTTCTCTGCCTAAAAGCATCCCTCCTTTAGGAAGTGCGTTGATAAGAAACGTGTAAGTACTACAAACGTATTTAAAAGTAGCCTCGTTGCTCAAATTTCTAGTTGGTTACTTCATCGGTATGCAGCTGAACGCAGGGAGACCGCGAACCCCGACATCTGCGACCACACACAGTCATCCAGCTATCTAGGCTGGGACCTTTTGATGTTGGGAGACCATTTGTCAGTGCTAGCGTGGGCTGGCTCCGTGTTTGTGTCCGAGTTGCCGCGGTGACCTGAGCAGGGAGTTGTTTTACGGCGTCGCACTAGTCTGGAACTAAACTGACGCAGATATTTAGATGAGGCGAAACCTGAACGTCTGAAGAGACGGGCGTTTGTTTTTAGGGCGACGCGTCAGATTCACGTTGATTGCAGCTTTATTTTTTCCACCACGGTAAATACGCAGCATGCACCCATTTCAGGTCTCTGCTGGGTGGTTTAAGGTGTGTCCGAGCTGCAGAGATGACCTCTGACCTTAGGCGAAACGTTAGCTCTGCATTAGCCTGCTAGCTAACAGCTACAGGTGAAATTAGACTAAATCATTCTTACATTTGAACATCTCCACCTTAGGAACAATGTAGAAGGTCATGATTGTTGCTTTATGAGGTCATCAAAACTTTATGCATTTGTTTTTTATTTTTACCGCGGCGTGCTCCCATGTGAAGATGTCATCCCGTCAGGCTACGAGCCCGTGTCCTTCACACCGACCCCTTTCTCCAGCCCTGCCTGTCAAAGGTCAACATTTCTTCACAGATCAGTAAAAGATGTGTCTGACCCAACCTTCCTTCCTCAGGTGGGTCTGTTGGACCAGCTCAGCCAGGTGACGGTGCACTCGTCTCCCATGGCAACTCGTCTGCTGCTGTGCGAACACGCTGAGAAGCTGCAGGCAGCCATGGTGCTGAAGAACCACCACACCAAACACGCTGAGCTGGTGAATGGAGCCATCAGCATGGCTCTGCAGAGGAGGAACGTGGCGGTGCCGCCCAGCCTCACGGTGGCTGATGTCTTCTTCAGAGAGGTCCGTGTGTGAAGCCTTTGTGAAGGAGTGGCGTGGTGGCTAGATGACGTTTGCCGCCTCTCTTGTAGGTGTCTCAGATCTCCTCCGTGTTTGAGTGTCTGCTGGAGGAGGAGGAGCGGAGTCTGAAGGTCAACCCTGTGGATTCTGTGCAGTGGGCCGAGGTGGTTCTTACCATCAACAGCATCATCAAGGTAACCACTGTTCTCTGTGAGGCGTGTGACCAGAGGGGGAACCCAAATATCAGTAAAGGTGTGTGTGTGTGTGTGTGTAGGACATGCTTCAGGCCGCAGGTCAGTACAGGGAGACAAAAGCCTCCATGTACAGAGCTTCTGAAAATGCAGCTGCAGAGCCTGAATACATCCCCTGGACAGGTAACGTTCACCTGATTAGCTTACCTGACTGAATTCTGTCGGTCTCTTCGTTCTGACCGTCTCCTCCTTTTAGCATCTGGCGGCGTTGGAGGAGTTCGCACCATCATTTCCCGCCAGCACGAGATCATCCTGCGCTCGGTTTACCCACACGCCGACTCTCAATTACGCTGTGCCCTCTGTGAGCAGCTGGTGGTGCTGTTGGACATGTTTCTGGGCAGCTACGTGGCCCAGCTGACATCCCTGCAAAAGCAGAGGCCTTCAGCAGCCCAGCAAGACCGTTACAACAGCCTGGAGATGGAGTACAGCCAGCGCCGCTCGGAGCTGCTCACACCGCTGTGTAAGTAGTCTTTAACGGGAGCTCTGAACACAGTTCAGGATCACTAACAGTAGCTCACGCTTCTGGTTGTGTTTGCTGTGGTCCGGCAGTGGAGCTGGGTCAGTACCAGTGGGTAGCAGTGCTGGCTGAGAAGTTCTGTGACTTCGACATCCTGGTTCAGATGTGTGAGCAGACCGACAACCAGAGCCGCCTGCAGCACTACATGGCAAAGTTTTCTGACCAGGTAGAGATCTGTGTGTGTGTGTGTGTGTGTGTGGCGGGGGTGGGGGGGGGGGTGGGGGGGGGCTCTTGGTTCAGATTGGACCAGTAATGGGTCAACACTAGGGATGCCTGATATGGATCTTTTACTGATATCAGATGTACCGATATGGTCTAACTCTTCATTACTGAGATATGAACCCCCCCCCCCCCATGAAAAAAGGAGAACTAAATAATTTTAGGTTGCTAACATTACGTTTGTCCTATCATGCATACTTATACGTTATCTGTGCAAAGTAGGGCTGGGCGATAAATCAATAATTTATCGTTATTGAAATTTCTGACTTATCGTGATAATTTTTCCAAAGTCAATACATTTGATTAAAAAAATGAAAAGATGTGTGTAGGTTGGCAGCGTTCATGTCCTTTTAAGAAGCTGTACCACCTCAACATAATACACGTGACAGCCCCCTCTAGTGGACAACTTTTGTTTCTGCGCATACCTGCAGTTATTGTCCATTTATCGTTATCGAGGTTAAATCCTCAATGTATCGTGATATTGATTTTAGGCCACATCGCTCAGCCCTGGTGCAAAGCAGAGAGGCTGCAGCAGGCTGGAGGGTTTTCTCCATCTTGCTCACTTAGGCGGCGCCAGGCAGTAGCTAGGGCTCAGCAACCACCTGAGAATGTTGTCGAGCACAGAGCTGGAGGTCATTATGTCAGGCTGACTGGGTTAGAATGGTAGACTTGACGAGCTAAAAGGAGGGTGACGCTTGAAATCATTGTTCTTCCATTGGTAACCATGGTGACCTGCAGAGAAACGCGTGCAGCCATCATTGTCACTGATGCCCTCGCTCCGCCCTTGCCGGTTTCCTGCATGGATGTAGATGGCCTTCTGCATCGGTTCAGTGTGACCTGCTCTGCTGCTCTGGACGCTGTAGCCCCTCTGAGACCGAGGCGGAAACAGACAACATCCGACCCTTGGCTGAATGATGACACCCGTAGCCTCAGGCGACAGTGTAGGGTGCTGGAACGGAGTTGGAAGAGAGATAGACTGTCATGCTCTCGGCTGCTCCTGGTTGATGCACTTTCACGCTACCAGAGAGCAGTTAGATCTGCTATTATTCTGCTATCATTCCACAGCATCATGGAGACCAGTCCAGGCTGTACAGCACAATCGACTCCCTGCTGCTGTTAAATGAGTCTGATGGTCTAAATCCCACTGTTGCTTCATGCACAGAGCTACAGAGCTTTTTCCTTAACAAGATCCTTGGTATTAGGCTTAATGGGCTCGACACACGGGAGGCGACAAACGACCGCGATCAGTGAAATTTGTCGGTGTCTTTTTTATTACCTGACACACGGGAGGCAATCCGCGGCAGCGGCAAAGCCGTCTACGCGTTCTGTTCCATGGCGAAATCGAAACTTCCGTAGTTTTGATTGGCTGTGTCAGGTTGGAGGGAATTAAGGTTATTTAAGCGGTTCAGAGTTAATAAAGCGGTAGATATGATGTTTCACAAGGTGCTGCTAGAGTTATGTGAAATCTCACTTCTGATTTTACTATAAAACATAATAATAATCAACTTCTCCTCCATGTTTGCTCGGAGGTGTACGGAGCATCCTGTCCGCTCATTGGTCAGTGAATGAAACCTGCGTTGATTGGTCCTCGTCCGAGCGACAGCGATGAAAAGTTGGAAATATTTCAACTTTCTGGGATCGCGTCGCTGGGTCGCCTGTGCACGACACGTGCACGAGCGCAAAACTTCACACGCACGTTTTTCGCGTTTCGCTTGGTAGGAGGGAGACCCGCGATTATCGCTTTGTCGCGCATGTCTCATTGAAAATGAATGGAGGAGAGGCGATGTCGCCTCCCGTGTGTCGAGCCCAGAAAGCCTCCAGCCTCAAACACACACTATCCATGTGGAACCGCCGGACCCACCTGCCTTCTCAGACTTTGCCCGTTGGAGTTCGGCGGGCTCCGTCTCTGGCGGTTTTTAAATCTCGGTTAAAGACCCACTTTTACGCTTTGGCTTTTAGACAGTGACTCGTTTTAGTGTTTTATTGCATCATTGTTCTAATGTGTTCCTAGTATTCGTCATGTTTTATCTGCTTTTGATTGGGATTTTTATCCTCTGTTTTAGTTCTTTCGAAGGGTTGTGTTTTGTTTTAGCCTGTGCAGCACTTTGGGCAGCTCCCATGCTGCGTTTTAAATGTGCTATATAAATAAACTGCTATGCTATGCTATTGTGTTGCATAAAAATGGCTTCACATGCAAGGATATTGTGGCTACTAAGATTGCGTCTAAATCAACAATTCATAGGATCATCGAGAACTTCAAATAAAGAGGTTAAATTCCTGTTAAGAAGGCTTCGGGGCGTCCAAGAGAGTCCAGCAAGCGCCAGGATCGTCTCCTAACGAGGATTCAGCTGCGGGATCAGAGTGCCAGTGCAGAGCTTGCTCAGGAATGGCAGCAGGCAGGTGTGAGTGCATCGTGAGGTGAAGACTTTTGGAAGATGTCCTGGTGTCAAGAAGGGCAGCAAAGAAGTCCCATCTCTCCAAAAAAACACCAGGGACAGATTGATCTTCTGGAAAAAGTATGGTGAATGGACTGCTGAGGACTGGGGCATGTTCTCTGATGAAGTCCCTTTCCGATTGTCCGGGGCATCTGGAAAAAGGCTTGTCTGGAGAAGAAAAGGTGATCGCCACCATCAGTCCTGTGTCATGCCAACAGTAAAGCATCCTCAGACCATTCATGTGTGGAGTTGCTTCTCATCCAAGGGAGTGCGTCACTCACAGTTTCGCCCCAAAACACAGCCAAGACTAAAGAATGGTACCAAAACACCCTCCGACAGCATCTCCTTCCAACAATCCAACACCAGTTTAGTAAAGAACAATGCAGCATGATGGAGCACCATGCCACAAGGCAAAGTGGTAACTCGGTGGCTCAGGGACTAAAACGGTGACATTTTGGGCCCATGACCTTGAAACTCCCCAGATCTTAATCCCATTGAGAGCTTGTGGTCAATCCTCAAGAGGCGGGTGGACAAACAAACACCCAGTAATTCTGACAATCTCCAAGAAGTGATCATGACAGGATGGGTTGCCATCAGTCAGGATTTGGCCCAGACGTTGATTGGGAGCACGCCCAGTTGAATTACAGAGGTCCTGAAAAAGAAGGGCCAACACTGCAAACACTGACTCTGCATAGATGTCATGTAACTGTTGATGAAAGCCTCTGAAACATATGAAGTGCTTGTAATCATATTTCAGTTCACCACAGAAACACCTGAAACAAAGATCTAAAAGCAGTTCAGCAGCAAACTTTGTGAAAACTAATATTTGTGTCATTCTCCAAACTTTTGGCCACGACTGTAGAACAACATCGTTCTGCTTCTGCTACGACCCGTCTAGGTCTCTGGGCTACAAAAATGTCAGATCCTGGACTATTTTGATGGGTGGAGACTCGACAAGTGAGGGCGGTTCAGTACTAATTGTGGCTTTTTGGAAATAACTCCTAAAACCAATCACTGACCACAAGGTGATTGGTTGAACTCACGTCCGGAGTGTTTCTAGAGGCAGTAAAGACCCAAGTACGGGTGCTAAAAGTCCGTTTAGCGTGTCCTCTTTGTTTAATCTGTTAACCCGATGTATAGATGGCTGTTCCATTGTTCCATCCTGTAGGCCACTGGGGCCTGAGCCCCCCAACCTTCACCTCCTAGAATTGCCCCTGAATAAAAACTAAACTGTTTTTCTTGGTGTGGATATCACACGGTTGAACGAACTCACCTCATGTCATTCATGTTTCAGAACTTTTCTGACTTCCTGTTTCGTTGGTACATGGAGAAAGGAAAGAGAGGGAAGCTGCTTTCCCAGCCAGCTGCTCAGCACCAGCAGCTGGCCAGTTTCCTGCAGGCCCATCAACACCTCAGCTGGCTGCACCATATCCACGTCCAGGACTACCAAAGTGTACGTGTAACTAACATTCATCTCAAAATGCTCAATCCTTGATATGTGCACAAGCTGGCATCTCATTACGCTGGTGTGGTGCTCATGTCTGACAACACGACTCAGCAGCGCGGTGGAGAAGTTTAAGCCAGTCGTCTTAGAAAAGCGGAGAAAAACAATTCTGCCTAACCTGTAGAGTAACACCCCGACCCCCCTCCGCCCTGCTCCACCCTACATCCTGCCTGCGGCTTCTTTCCGTCCTCCGCTTCCCACTCGCTGCTGTTCTGGCATTTGAAAATGTAAAGTGTGTGTGTGTGTGTGTGTGTGTGTGTGTGTGTGTGTGTGTGTGTGTGCGTGCGCGCGTGTGTGCGTGTGAGCATCAGCAGGCTGAACAATAACCTGTAGAATAATTAAAGTCATCATGCTAGAGCGGCTTCTCTGTGGTGGACCACACCAGCTCCTGCCACAATAAATAATAATAATAATAATAATAATAATAATTAATAACATTTTAATTTATTTTCTGAACTATTTCTGGTGAATTTTAATGTTTAAATCTGTTAGATTGTCACTGACAGCAGCTACGGTTAAGTTCCACTTCCTGTTGTGACTGAAGCTGCTGCAGCATGGAGGTGTGGCTCTCAGTCATCCTGGACATTATCATCCTGAGAGTTTTAGCTGGAAACAGCTGGACGTTTCTGGATGTGTTGGAGACATTTAGCCTCTCATCCCAGAGGCTGCTTCCACACTTTGGTTGTGGTCAGAAACAAACACACTGGTTGTGCTGCAAGTCGTCTTCTTTTTTCTCCAAAACACGTTTTTGTCTAAATGAAGGTGATGTTGTTGTTCATAGAGTTAAAATTCATGTTGAAGTTAAGATTATTTCATCTAGTAGGACCTGTGGTTAGCTGGCTCATTTAAAACATGTCATGTCTTCAAAGAATCGGAATCGGGAATCGAAACGAGGAATTGGAATTGAAATTGGAATCGGAATCGTACAAAATCAAACGATGCCCCACCCTAGTTATCAGAACCCTCGTATCTGGAGAAACTTGAGTTCAGAGTGGGAGTGAATTTGGTCTGCATTAAACTTAACAAAGTTGGTTCTTATCAAAACACATCAGACGCAATCTGTCGAGTCTACGTACTCTGATCGAAAACCCCCATGGTAGATCCAGAATGGTGAGGTCCGGGGACCCCAGAGGTACCGAAGTCCGTAGAAGAAACCGCAGTGCCGACTAGACCGGTCTCGAGTTGTCTTCTGGTCACGACAGTTGTTATTTGTGTCTTAGGAATAACTCTTGAGTTGGTTCAGCTTTATTCTGAAGGAACCGTTTGCGGTCAGCTGCAGCGTGCAACGGGTTTTTGACAGCTTGTCCAAAGATGCTCTGGGTTAAAGAGGTTTTGCTCCGGATGGCCGGTCCGAAGCTTTCTCAAGAACTGACTCACGGTGAAGTGAGTCCTGTTTTAATAATCATCGTATTTTGATTTACTAACAAACCAGAATTTGACGTGTAAAAAGGTTTTTACCAACAAACCCCAGAAAACACACCCTGTGTCAGATACAGGAGCTCTGATTGGTGGAACAGAAAGCACTGTGTCAGGATATTAGCTTAACCTTGTCATCATCACGTGTGTGAGCTGTCAGTAGATAGTGACTCACTGTTAAATCTAACTTTACTGATCATAACATCATAATATTCATTTCAACCTCAGTAATTTAAGCACAGATTAATCAAAACATTGTTATTGTCCTTCAACCATTATTGTTCATTATATGATTTAATTTAGAAAGTTCACCCGTCTTGTGCTGTGAATAAAAACCAGGCTTAGATAAGAGTGAGCTTGGAGAGACCTTGAAGCATCAGTGTGTTCTTGCAGATTAGAGCACCAGTTAAGACTTACGTCTCCAAATGAACCGAAACCGAGGAGGTGACCTGTAGATGGACAAACAGACCGTTTCCGGAGGCTAAACGTTCTAGCCGCTGTTTACATCCTGCCAGATGCGAACCCACACAAGGCTCAGCCCGTGCTCCAATATCCCTGGAGCGGGCGTACCTGGACCCCCTCATCATTGCTCTGGGAGATTTTAACTGGTCTGAGCCAGCAGCTTCCCAAATATAAACAGTAAATTAAATGCCCAACCATAGGGGAGACAACCCTGGAACACTGTTACAGCACGCTAACTAGAGCCTCCAGCTGCATTCAGACTTTCTGACCACGTGAGCGTCCATCTGATCCCTGCGTACAAACAAAGGCTAAAACTCTTTAAGTCTGCTGTGAAGTCGGCAAAACTGTGAAGAACGAGGCTGTAGATGAGCTCCGCACATGTAGAGACCACAGACTGGGAGGTAATGAGGGCTGCCTCTGACAGTTTAGTTTACACAGATACGTCACCTCCTACGTCCACTTCTGCTGAGTCCGCCATTTTCCACAGGGCTAGCCTCGCTGTTCAGAGCGGGCTTTTTGGAAACCCACAGTGGTGCCCTCTACTGGCTGGTAGGTGTAAACATCAACCCAGTGGCGTGCCCATCAAAATATACATTTGATTATTTTTCCATTAGAATGAACTTTTATTCATTCTGTAAGTGGCCTGTGGAGGTATTGCTTATTTAAAATATGAAGCTTTTTCTTAAGCTGTTCCATATTCAACCTTTAATTTTAAAGTAACGGTTTAACGGGCGACTGCTAATCAGAAGTATTTATGTTTACAGTCCAGCTGTGAGGCTGTTTACAGCACTAACGGTGTGACCCTCCACCTGTGCAGGCTCTCAGGACGCTGTACAGCCAGGCCAACATGGAGACGCGCTACTTTGCAAAGAAGACCACGCTGCTGGCTCTCAGTAAACTAACGGCGCTGGCGTCTGACCTGCCGGAGGAGGAACTCAACAAACAAGTGGATGGTAAAAACCCGGTCTACACGGAGCAGACGTCCTGGTGTTGGGATCATGTTGAAGAGGGACTGACACAGCTGGAAGCATGAGACAGAAACCAGTAGACCTCTAACCGCCCCATGCCCTGTGGCAGTGCAGCAGAAAGGACCCGTTACGGATTAAATACGTGTCCTTCTGATGATTTTTAGTGAACTGTTATTGTTACATGACTTATTATCCTGACGTCTTCGCTGGTTAAAAATCCATTCATTCATCAACAGCATCATGTCTGTTAACTTAAGACTTTGTGTGATCTGAATGTCGTCATCTGTTCTTCTCGTGATGAGGGCTCTTCTCAGGGTATCCGCGGGTCCTTAAAAGTCTTAAAAAGTCTTAAATTTGCTTTTCTAAATTTAAGGCCTTAAAAATCCTTAAAAATGACAAATAATCCTTAAATACAGTTTCCAAAGGTCTTAAATTACCAAAGACCCAATGAACAAGAATTTCTAGTTGGTGTTCAGCATTTTTTGTGTATGATGTTGGTGTAAGCGGAACCATACACATTCAAATGGTTGTGAAAGGGGGCTGTTTTTAGATGAGCACATTAGCTGGTTAAGCTAGTGGGGGCTTGCGCTATGGGGAAGTGCAAGTTTAATGGTAACTGGGTGGGTAATCCCACGTTTGCGACATGGTTAGCAACGGTTCCAGGCAATACCTGGAAATTATAGCTTAAATTTAATTTAAAAAAATGGCTTAAATTTGGTCAAACTGGCCTTAAAAAGGTCTTAAAAAGTCTTAAATTTGGCTCCCTTAAACCTGCAGATATCCTGTCTTCTGTTTTGATGTGATGCAGTCATTTATTTGTCTTGTCCCTCAGACATTGTGGAGCAGGAACGCTTCCTGCTGCATCAGGAGACTCTGCCCAGACAGCTCCTGGAGGAGAAGCAACTAAACCCCGACACCATGCCTCTGCTCAGCGCTCACAACCTCATACAGGTGAGCTGTAGCTACGGTCCAGGGCCAACCGTGTTATGAAAACACTTTATAGCTTTTTCTGGCCGAATTTGCAATTCCAATTCAAGATTTACTTTTCTAATCCAGATTCAGCTCATTGTTCACATGCACAGCAATATTTATGACATCATACCCTCAAAACATGAAAAGCGGTTAATCTGATATGAAATCTGAAGGTAAAATGTACTTTAGATGCTTAAAAGTTCATGCATGCAGAGTTTTCCCAGCATCTTTTACCGAGCAGCGCCTCCTGGAGGTTCTCCTCACAAAAACTCGCCCCAGCACGTTTTGCGTACGTACTTGGATTTACCGTGACTCTGCAACCGTTTGTGCTGTCAGACAGATGTAAATGTTTTTAGTAGGGCTGGGAAATAATTAGAAACTTTATAATCGAAATTTCGGACTCTTATGGTGATCATTTTCCCACGTCAATACATTTGATAAAACAATGAAAGTGTGTAGGTTGGCAGCGTTCGTGTCCCTTTAAGGAGCGGGACCTGGGGTCATGTAAAAATGTGACCCAATGTAACACGTGGCAGCCCCATCTAGTGGACAACCTTTGTTTCTCGCGTACCTGTAGTTATCGTCCATTTATCGTTGTCGAGTTGAAATGATCAATAAATCGTGATATTGATTTTAGGCCGCATCGCCCAGCCCTAGTTCCAAGTCCACTTGGTGTCATTACTGGAAATCCCTATCTGCTGTCGGGGGACCTGGGCGAGTCAGACTCGCCGTCTCACGCTCACAAACCGAGGGACAGATTGAGCGACAGACAACCGTAGATATAAACGATATCCGCAGCTGCGCCACGAAAAGCATAAAAACCCATAAGAGTGACCAGCTGCACCACCGTCAGCCCCCACAACGCCGACACCCCTGCCTCCACTCGCGGCTACGGCCGAAATGCGTTTACGGCCTTGGGGGTGTTTTACGCCCAGAACATATTAGAAGAAAGAGCGACGATGCGCCGCGAAGCGCAGTGGGACGGCGAGCGCTTCTGATCGGCGCCCTTGTTGACCTACGCTCTCGGTCACATCCGCTGCGAAGCGCCACGGAGGCTCGCGCCGCGCAGCGATCGTTTTGGTGTGAGCTCTGATTTTTTTCGGAGCCGCATCAATTCTGACTAGAAGTCGAACCAAAGCAGAAGAGGCAAGCCGGTAAATTTAACAAAATAAAAGAAAATTTTCAAAATAAAACACTGCAATTGATAAATGTGATCATTTTTGTGTATCTAAACAGACTAGAGAGATGAAAATGAACACACACGCGCGCACGCACACACACACACACACGCAGCAAGGGCACAAGGGTGCGGTGGGGGGGTCGGAAGACAGTAGGCGTGAGCAGAAGCACTCGTTGACACAAATTTCGTGAGCGCTCCACTTCGCAGCTGGTGTGTTCCAGACGTGTAAAATAGTTGACACTACAGATCCTGAGTCAGTCGGATGCGAGCAACAAACCCGTAGCGTCGACGATCACGTGATGGTTTGAAATCAGAGTCGTTCAGCTCTGCTGCAAGCCGTGCCTTCCTGGAGCATCGTTGCTGGGAAGAAGTCACCAGCTGGCGGTCCTGCTGAAGTACAACAGGAGCCAGTCGCTTGTGTTGAAAGTGTCTTTCTCTGCAGCTCTACATCTGTGATGACAACAGGAGGGCCAACGAGTACGACTTCAAAAAGGCGTTGGACCTGCTCGAGTACATCCACAAGGTGACTTCCTGCTCACGTGTCGGACTGCTGAGGATCGATCTGGCTTTAGCTCATGAGGCTTTTCTGTTTGCGTTGCAGGAGGACTCTGTAGACATTGATGCTCTGAAGTGTGAGATCTTCGGCAAAGCACTCAGACGAGATGAGTAAGCTCTGACACGTGTATGGTTATCGGTTCAGTAGTCACAAACCTCCGACACCTCATCACCCCCCTCCCACTTTAGGCTGAAATTAAACTGTAAAACTGGTGAAATAGCAGTTTAGTTTTTAAATACCCAGAGATTGTTTTAATAACAATCTCACCGGGTCAAATGTTCTTTGTTTAAGGGACGTTTGTTCATGTTTCAGCTTGGCTGCTGGCCAGGTTTTGTTTAGACTTAGACTTGCTTTTATCTTTTTATTTATTTATTTATTTATTTATTTTCCCCGTGTCCTGTCTGGCTGTGAAGCAAACTCTCAGGCACACTCCAGGACCCCCTAAGGGTATAGAGCTGGTGCAGTGTTCCACGACCAGGGCGAAAACCACATTGCTAATCCTGAACCTGAGGCTCGACAGCCCAACGGACCCTCCTCTCCAGAACCCCTGAATAGACCTCACCAGAGAGGCTCAGGAGTGTGATACCCCTGTAGTTGGAACACATCCTGCGGTCCCCCTTTTATAAATCGGTGTACCAGAAATGTATAAAAAAACTAAAGTAGTGAGGAGTAAAAATAAAGCTACTGCATGATGAGCTGTTGCACTAAAGATGACATCATAACAGCATGTCTATAGTCCCCCGAGGTTCCTAAAGGTGGTGGAGGGAAAGGTGGGGCCGTTGCAGTCCAAGCATGGGCTGATGTAGTTCATGCTGGTAAGCTCGTTTTTGTTGCTTTTAGTTGTTCAACAGATTTATGGCCGGGGGAAAGAAACTGTCTGAATCTGGACCTCCTGCTGCAGATGCTGCAGAACCACATGTCCATGGTGGGGATAGGTGGGGTCTGAGGCTATGCGCTGCGCTGCAAAGGCCGTCTGTTTTTCCTGTGAGCGAGGAGAGGTGTTGGAAAGAAGGTTACATCGAAACAGATTTCCATCTCAGCCGGCTTGGAGGGATTGTCAGTTTTTACAATCTGTGAGCCGGCGGGGCTGCCGAGTCGCTAGCGAGCTAACGCTGCTGCACCGGGACTTGTAATTTGACCCGGCAGGCAAAAGCTCTAGAGTTGTTTAGAAAAAAAACAAAGCCAGTAAACAGGAGCGACCAAGAAGTGATTTCATGTACCCCTAAGAAGCCATGGCATCTTTGTGTTTTACTCTAATATTGGGTGAAGCAGGCTAGAGACTAACGTTAAGCTAACAATGCTAACAGTGAATTAGAGGCAAATAGTCGTCTGTAAATCTTTCTGAAGTTATTGTTTCAGGTACCAACAAATAGATAGTACAATCAATGTTTTTTATCTTTATGTCTACTTACTGTGAGTGACTCGTCTTCACTTGTCATCTAGAATGTTCTGGTGCTGATCCATAACTGGCAACAGCCATGAAGCTCTCAAAGAAAGAGTGAGAGAGTCCCCCGTTTGTTTTGAAAATGGCTGCAAATTTACCCCAAAAGGTCCAGGTTGTCCACTGGTTTAAATGACCCAAAGCTATAAAGTATAAATGAAGTATAAATAAAAGTATAAATGAAGCGACGGTGGAGGGAAGTGGACAACACGTCCATGAACTTGTTTATTGTAGCGATTTGTTGAATCGATGAAAAAGCATTAAAGATCCAAAGTCTCTGGACTTCTGATGCAAAGTTCTGAAACGATCTCTCTTCTGTTGTTAATGATGAGTGGAACCAGGCCATGGGTGATGCCTCCTAGTGCCTCACTGATGGATGACTTCTGATCGACTTCCATGTGTTTGACTGCTTCTGCCTGCCTTTCAGCTGGTCCTCTGTTGATGGGAACGACGATCCTATAGAAGCAGCTAAGGACAGCATCTTTGTGAAGATCCTCCTCAAAGTAATACAAGAAGGTTTGTACTTGGTGCTTTAAAGGATATAATACTCCGCTAGCAATAATCATGACATAAATGGTTCACTGAGTGTAGATGGCGCCAGCAAAAACATGTAGTTTGAAATTCCATAAATGTAAAAGTGGTAGAACATGTAATGAACCCATGCCTAGTAAAGGAAGGAGACTAGTTCAGCCAGGAAAGGATTTTGAGTTGGTCTGAAGCAGCGGAGACTTGTATGTATGGGAACGGAGCACATCACTCCTGTTCTTAGATCCCTACACTGGTTACCAGTAAACTACAGAATACACTACAAAGTGCTACTACTAGTTTATAAATCACTCAATGGCACGGGACCAAAATACACGTCCGATCTCATTCCTGTATATACACACCCAACAGAGCTCTGAGATCCCTGGAAACAATCAGCTGGTAGAACCTCGGGTCAGAACCAAACATGGTGGAGATGCATTTAGCTACTACGCTGCTCACATATGGAATCAGCTTCTCCATGACCTCAGACCTGCCCCAGCCCTAGTGTTTAAAACTAAACCCCTCATGTACTCATCAGCCTTTACATGAATAGTTTCTTACCATGCGTCGTCTCCGCTGTAATCTGTGATGCAACTTTGTCTTCTCCTTTAGCTCTAAACTGTAATTCTACCTGTGTGTGTTTTAATTTGTTTTTATGTGTTTTCATTTCATGTCCTGATAACAGTAAAGCACATAGAATTGCCTCTGTGTTTGAAATGTGCTCTAGAAATAAAGCTGCCTTGTCTATAATGTGTAAAAAGCAACATATCTCTCCCATTGCCACCTGGAATTGTAGCTTAATAAAACAAACCTCTCCCACCTTTGTTTCAGGTGTTCCCTTGCAGACGTACCTGCCCGAAGTCAAAGAGCTGCTCGAACTCGATGAGCTGAGTTCTTTGAAATCCAAACCTTGTTTTGAGTTTGTTCTTCGAGCTAATTATGAACATTACCTTCAGGCTCAAATGTGACGACCCTGCATGCTCTCAACAAAGCCGACTCGCTTTGTCTGCATTTTTCACTTTCTCGTTTTCATCTTATATTTTCAAATGTTTCATTTTCTAAATAAATATGCATTTATTTCTGAATTGTTCTGGGTTTTTTCCCACAAAAATGTAGCAAGTTTAATTTATAAGTTTAATTTCCATAGAGAAGCAGGTTGTGATGTGGCTAAATGCCTCGTTTATACTACTCGGTCTGGATTGGCTGCAAGGGCTCTCCAACAGGAGTCGAGTACAACTTTCTAAATATTCATCAGTTATGTAGACCGCAAGCCTGTGATTGGTCAGGAAGTTGCTGCTTTTAACTTTGTCAACAGCACCACCGTTTTCAAAATAAATAAAACAAAAGCGGAAGAAATATCTGGCATCAGAAACGGAACCGATACAGTGGGGTAAAAAAGTATTTAGTCAGCCACCGATCGTGCAAGTTCTCCCACTTAAAATGATGACAGAGGTCAGTAATTTACATCATAGGTACACTTCAACTGTGAGAGACAGAATGTGAAAAAAAATCCATGAATTCACATGTTAGGATTTTTAAAGAATTTATTTGTAAATCAGGGTGGAAAATAAGTATTTGGTCAATAACAAAAATTCAACTCAATACTTTGTAACATAACCTTTGTTGGCAATAACAAAGGTCAAACGATTACAATAGGTCTTTACCAGGTTTGCACACACAGTAGCTGGTATTTTGGCCCATTCCTCCATGCAGATCTTCTCGAGAGAGTGATGTTTTGGGGCTGTCGCCGAGCAACACGGACTTTCAACTCCCTCCACAGATTTTCTATGGGGTTGAGGTCTGGAGACTGGCTAGGCCACGCCAGGACTTTCAAATGCTTCTTATGGAGCCACTCCTTTGTTGCCCGGGCGGTGTGTTTGGGATCATTGTCGTGTTGGAAGACCCAGCCACGTTTCATCTTCAAAGCTCTCACTGATGGAAGGAGGTTTTGGCTCAGAATCTCACGATACATGGCCCCATTCATTCTGTCCTTAACACGGATCAGTCGTCCTGTCCCCTTAGCAGAAAAACAGCCCCAAAGCATGATGTTCCCACCCCCATGCTTCACAGTAGGTCTTAGCCATAGTGGAGTTTGGAGTCTGACTGTTTGAGGCTGTGGACAGGTGTCTTTTATACAGATAATGAGTTCAAACAGGTGCCATTAATACAGGTAACGAGTGGAGGACAGAGAAGCTTCTTAAAGAAGACGTTACAGGTCTGTGAGAGCCAGAGATTTTCCTTGTTTGAAGTGACCAAATACTTATTCTCTCTCTCTCTCTCTCTCTCTCTCTCTCTCTCTCTCTCCCCCCCCCCCCCTCCCTCCCGTTGTCCTCCAGGAAAGATCTCCGTGTCGGTATAAAAACGTGTCTTTCGGTTTCCCTCTGGTTGTGTCAAAACGCGGTCTCAGGTTTTCTCTGGACTCTGTGTCGTTGCTCTCCACATGTCGCTCTCTTTTCTGGTTGTCGGTCTTCTTTCCTCCTTTGTAAGGTGTCTGATGAGTGCCGATTATCCGCAGCGGGAAGGGTGCGTCTCAGCGTGCCTCTCTCCATGGTGCTGATCCTCTAGATCTCAGCGGGGCCGGAGCGAGGAGCTGTCCACGGTGTTGTGTGTAAACGGAGCTCAGGAGCGCAGAGGTCACGACAGATCTTTACTCTACATTTACATTAATGTAATTAAATAATGAAACCTTTTATATACATGAAATTACAAATAATCACTCACCACGTTTGTTTTTGAACCAAAAGTCCAGATCTTTCATCTTTGCAAACGTTTCAATAACTGTAAAAGGTTTCAAATTATTCCCTTTAAATTTTAAAACGTTTCTTAAAGTTTTTGAACGATGTTAAAATCCACAGGGTGATGACGTCCCAAATGTTTATCTCCAATATTTTCTAAAAGCTAAGAAGGTTTTGTCCAGAAATATTCTTTTGCCTAAGGGCCGAGCAAGGACATTTCTATCTAACGGAGCGTGAATAAGACGTACGCAATTCCAGTATTAGGAATTATAAACTAGGCTTACGCTACACAACCAACTTTTGTACTTGCCAAAACCGGTTGCATCACTTCCTGTTGGTGTGTGACAGTGGGATCTTCTTCTAATACATTCATGGCAGACTTACTTGGCCCCACTGTCCCCAAAAGACGCCACAGATTTACAACAATTGTATTCTTACAGACAGAAGAGGAGACAGGAGCAGTGAGAGGAAGAGAGAGAGAGAAACAGAAGAAAATAGACAGGACAGTGAAATCATCAGGTATACGTTTGTGATCAGGTTATGAAACAATCCTGACTTGGAGTGAAATGTTTACATATCTACATACATGTAGCGTTAAGGAGTGGCTACATGTGTAACCAGTGATCAATAAGATGTGATGGTTCCATATGAATATGAAATATCAACCTGATGATCTTGAATGTTTAATCAGAAGATTCTAGTTTCTTTGACTTATTCAGGGACCATAAACACACTTCGTATTAGTCGAGTTTAGTTTATAAAAACAAATTTATTTCCATTTCCCTAAACTAAGGATTATACATGACAAGGTATGAACGGAATGATGGGATGTGATGGATGAAATGCTGGAATGGAAGCTCGATGTTTTAGCAAAACTTTTCTTAAATATCTGAGTTTGTGGAGTCTGGGTAGTAAAATCTATTTGGCTGTATGTTTGTAAACTAGAGATTTGTTTATAAAAACATCCATCCACCCACTTATCCATCCATCCATCCATCCACTTTTCCGGAGTCGGGTCGCGGGAGCAGTAGACTAAGTCGAGAGGCCCAGACTTCCCTCTCCCCAGCTACTTGGGCCAGCTCCTCCGGGGGAATCCCAAGGCGTTCCCTGGCCAGGTGAGAGACATAGTCCCTCCACCGTGTCCTGGGTCTACCTTTAGGTCTCCTCCCGGTTGGACGTGCCCGGAAAACCTCACCAGGGAGGCGTCCAGGAGGCATCCTGACCAGATGTCCGAGCCACCTCAACTGGCTCCTCTTAAAAGAGCTGCTGTCTGTAACACCTCACGAGCTTTGCAGAGGCTTTTGACCTGAAGGTAAAAGGAGGACGGTTTCAAATAGCTTGTTCACCGATTTGACCGGATTGGGAGTCAGCTAGACACGGACTGGATCAGAAAATATTTCCTGTTTAACAGCTTCTATTGATAAATTTGGCAAATCAGAATTTGACATGTTTGATTGAGGGCATCACCAAAAAAACCTCAGAATGTCACGCCTTTCCTCAGAGACTTAGCGGTTTATTCTCAGCGTGAGGTGGAAATGTTTTAACACCAATGTGAAGAGAATGTTAAACATTAGTGATGACCTTACTATAATGTGTATGAGTATACTGATACGTTAACTTGTTAAATCAACACATTTGATTAATTCAGGGGGCCTAGCAAAAAAAAAAAGACGTATTGCTTACATTATATCACAGTACGTGATGAGATAATCACTTTTACGGGTTTCTGAAAACTCATACATCATTTCTGAAAGGAGAAAACTCCAGAAAGGTATTTTAAGCACATTGTGCCAATGGAGCCCTGCACTGATAATCCAGCCCTATGTCTGGGCTCTCCCTTAGAAGCTCCGTCATCTGGGAGAGGCTCAGAGTAGACCTGCCGCTGCTCCACATCAACTTACGCTGAGGCTGACTAATGGGACTGCCTAAAATAGAGCCCAGAACTTAACTCTCTAGACACACTACAAACCACAAGTAATTTCGTCCCAATCACACGTGTATTTATGTGTATTTATGTCCTGCTCGGACTGGTGCTTAACTTTAATGGCAGCTGTGTGTGTGTGTGTCTGCTCTGTCTTCTCGATCCCCAGAGAGTCGTGGAGGATGGCTGCTTATACTGAGCCAGGATCCTCTGGAGGTTTCTTCCTGTTAAAAGGGAGTTTTCCTCTCCACTGTCGCTAAATGCTTGCTAAGTTTGAGGATTGCTACTTGATGCAACCTGCTGGGTTCCTTATATAGGAAACTTATTTCTGATTGCCTTAATGAACTGACCTGTACTGGAATATTTACTATGTGAAGGTCCTTGAGACGACTCTTGTCGTGATTTGGTGCTATATAAATAAACTTGAATTGAATGACATTGTTACTATTTCTGTATAAATTTATTCTTTCAGTTGGATTGTTCGCATTGAAAGGCATTTAATGATATGAATCAACCCTTAAAGTTAATATTCGTGACATTATTGATTAATTTCCCTTTTCTGACCGCCATGAGGCCTCAACAGGCACATGGGCACATTGTAGCGGCTCCGGCTAGACCCAGAGCAGACCGGTGGTTTTATTTTGAAGGTCCCATCCGGAAGTCGTTGATGCTAACCTCCAGCTTTGGCTCGTTTCCGGTCCAGCGGGCGACGCTCGCCTCTGACCAGTAGTGACTCGCTGGTGTCAGACTGGAGCGCTGTGGTGAGTAAACATGCAGGTACTCGGCTCCTAGCTGGTTTACAAGCGGAGGCTGACGGAGCTGGCTCTGGTCATCATGGCTGCTCATTTAAATCCTGCTCTTTTACGGCTCTTTCTCATCATTTTAGTGTGATTATTGTAAAAGTCCGAGTGGATGTTTACCGTTCAGGCTAATGCAGTCATCTGGAGTGTGACTGAGTGAATTTAAGCCTTAAAGAAGCAAACAACTGAAATAGTAAATTTGGCGTTTTTATTCCGGGTTATTATTCAGAATGATGTTAGAACCAGACAACGCGTTGTTGACGCGTGGATGCGGTATTTGGAGCACCCAGGTGAAAACAGGTGCACGTGATCGCTACAGGTACCAGAATGAATGTAACGTGAGAGATGCGTGCGTGTGTGGGTGGAGGAGAGGAGTGGTGCTGCAGTATTATATATATAGTAAGCTCCAATCCTCCACTCACTGGTAATCTGTCACGGATAGAGAGGTGGGCGGGGCCTACAGGTGGTGCTGACGTCACCATGTGCTGCAACGTCACCTCCAACTGCATTATTTAAAATGTTCATTTCTGGTCCCTGGCTTCCTGGTTCTGGTCGGTCCCAGCTGCGACTGCATTCAAGATTAAATAAATACAGCAACGTTCAACAAGGCTGTCCAAAAAACACCATCTCCCTTTTCATGGACATTAGAGTGGGATTCCATCGGTTGGCGCCCCCAGAACATTGTATAGGCGGGGGCCCAGATAGAGACCGTGAACATTTTGGGATGGCACACCAGTTTGGTGTTTGTGGCAGCGCCCAGGCCTCTGGTGCCTGGTCTGGGATGTTGGTTCACTGCTGACGCGTTCCAGCACCATGGTCAGAGACACACTGTACAACATGAGGACTCATTTCTACTAATACGTTTATTTTGCAACAGGATTTACCGTTATAGCATCTGTTGGGCTCAGAATCAGCTGCTTGACTTGTTAATTCTTTTAAATCACAATTGCCCATTTTTGCTCATTTTAATATATTTTTAAACATTTTCTAAATGCTTTTTTATATTTTTGTTTTTCTGAAGCGCCTCGTGATTTTTTTTATCTTGAGAGGCGCTATAGAAATTTTATTTTCTTCTTCTTCTTAAGGTGCATTATGGAAGTCTGACAGCCAAAACATGTATAGAAATAATAAATGTCTTCTTCATACATTCTCCTGCAATGCCCTGGTCCTGTAGAATGAGCCCTGGCATTTTTACTGTGATTGCCTGTTTTTCTGTAAAATCACAGAAAAAGAGAGATGCTCGGGTCGAGCAGGCTGCTTCATGCGCGTTCACGCTCAGGCATCGCCCGTAGCGTTTGCTATCCGTAGCTTTAGCAGCAGAGAGAGAGGCAGTGCCACTTTGTCGCTGTTCCTAACGCCTAGTGACAAAGCTAGCTACATTTCTGAGGACCCTTAGCTACTTTCTGTAGAACTTTCTTCTAGATATTTCCTGCAAATTAGCAACAAAATAGCCATTTTCACTCCGAACCGTTCTTTGAACGTTGTTTCAGCTGTCATCAAGGATATAAATGTTACAGATACAAAAGACGTCACTGGTGCTTTAGCTCACCTAGTAAGACGGTGGACTCTCATGCAGAAGACCCAGGTTCAGTTCTAGATGTGAACATAATTTATTTAGAATTTATTTTTTACATTAATGGTATATTTTTTTACAGTAAGATGCCCAAATTTTTATTTGAGACTCGCCGAACGGCATTGAATTCACAGATAAAAAAGATGTGGGTTCAACTTTCATTTTGGAACAATTTTTCAAGCAAGGGAAGAGAATGATCTGAGCATGCCCCCCCCCCCCCCCCCCGCCACACACACACACACACACACACACACACACACACACACACACGGGACTGTCTCAGCTGCTATTTTCGTTAAGGAGTGTGCACGTACAGCATGCGCGCCTCGTGCACGAGCCTACTATTGAAGCTGCCATTACGCTTTTGGCCTGAGGGGGCAATCCTGAGCATAAAAATTCAACACTCCGTAAAGTCCCTTTAAGTCTCCCTTTTTACACAGTCCCGACCCCGCCTTGCTGAGTGGAATTTTTTAGCACAACGGTGCCCTCTAGTGGCTGGTAGATGTAAACATAAACAGTGTCGTGCCGACGGAATAAAAATTTGATTATTTATCTTTTTAAATATAGCTTAAAAAGGAGAAAATGTACACTAATTCACACCTCTGAATGCCCCGTGGAGGTATTATTTTTTCAATAATATAGCTTTTTAGTAAAATGTTCCATATTCTAACTTTAACAGAGTTGGCTTCAGGAGCACAGTGGGGGCTCCTTCTTCTGAAAAAGCTTTAACTTATTTTCTGTAAATTGTATTTGAACATTATCTAGGCATTTTGATGTTTTTATAGAAATACTGTTCTCTTCTATGCATGACCTGTAAAGTACTTCACCTGACACAAGTCCCCCATCATAAATCTCAGAGTGTGTTTCTTTTTCTTCAGCTGGGATTGCAGTTAGACCACATGGTGGCAGCTGTTTCTGTGATTATGCTATTTAAATGATGTTTGTTTTTATTCCCAGTGTGAAAGACCCAAACAGCAAAAATACAGGAAACCATGGTGACCAAGAAAGTTAGGACTGAGTACATGAAGAAATTCAGGGATCCTAAATGGGAGACGTTTTCTAAATGCTACGAGGACTCTCTGAAGTACCGTTTGACCCGCCGTTTGATGGAGCATTCCCACAAGCCATGGTTCTGGGAGGGCTGGGAAAGCGGTTCTGAGTCCAGTGGGTGGTCCACACCAAGACTCACTAGAAACAAAGTGGCTCCCCTGTCTCTGGCACTGCCACCTGCATGTTCAGAGGTCCAACAGAAGCTGTTGGACCAGCACACCAATCCTGGTCTAAAGCAGGACTCAGGGGTCAGAGAGACTGCCCCGGGAACTGGAGAGGCTCCAGCTGTAGATTCTGCTCCAACCACAGGTAAGGATCCTCTTCCTGGTTACTAGAACCGTTACTCACCAGTAGGTGCTTTAATGGGCCTGCAATGTTGGAGAGAATACTTAGTAAATGTATTTAGTTACAGAATACTGAATACCTGCTTTAAAATGTATTTTGTAAGGTATTCCGAGTTTGCTTAGTCATGCTACTGAATTCTAAAAACTTGGAATACTTCTTCTTAAAAACAGCATTTAAGTCTATTAAATGTCTATGAATTAGTAGCTAAGCATATTGATGCCTAACATTATTTACTGACTGGGAAAAAGAAATAAAACAATTTATTATTTTCTGTTACTTCGTTAATCAAAGTGTCCATAGATCGTACTTCTGTTTCTGTAACGAAGTGAAACTTTTCTGCCGGAGCTGCTAACCCACTTACAGCTTGTTTATTTTTAAAAACAATGTATTTTAGAGGGAAGCTTCGATCCGATCACGTGATTGGAAATCGATTTTCAGGAAAATGGAATCGGTGGGACAAATCAGATTTAACTTTATAAAACAACAAACGTTACTTTTAAAATTCATCCTAAGAAACAGATTTTTTAACGAAAAAACAATGGTTTACTTTTAAATTCAACAAGTTCCAATGAATATGTATTCTTTGTTTTACAGACACAGAAAAGCCCCCCCCCCCCCCCCCCCCCCCCCCCCCATGTCCTGTCTGGCTGTGAAGCAAACCAAATTAATGTCTGAATGCTGGTGACAAGCCTTACAGATTTACTCTCAGGTGGAGCATTAAAGTGTCTGCTTTAATCTCACGCCTGATACTGAAAACTTTATTGTTTTTGAATGCTTTTTAATTCTGACCAGACACGGAGACAGAGGTGAAAGAGAAAGGAGGGCGGGGTTTTACAAAAATAATCAATGATGAACAAGAGTCTGCTTCTAGACCTGCAGAAAAGGGACACAACAATGCAAGAGGAGCAAACTATCACTGCGCCAACTTGATGAAGAAATGTAAAATCAACATGGTTTTACTGAACAATCACACGACAATAAATCACAGTGCATTTAGTGCCAACCGCAGCCTTAAGACGTGTTGAAAATGCCCAAGTCCATGTGTGTGTACACGCGCTTGTATATGTAAGGTTTCTCTATAGAAGCGTCCAGTAGAGAGTGTGAGGGGCCACAGATCTGCCCCCCAAAGATGTGTAGGAGACAGAAGGAGCTCCATGTCCCAGAGATCCAGGAGCTGCTCCAGAACACAGGGACCCCAAGGAGACTGTAACCAGAAAAGCCCCTGCCCCCTCTCGAGAGGCAAGCCCTGAGGGGGCCACAACCAGCAGCCGGCAGAGTCCCGGGAGATAACAGTGGCAAACCCACAGGCCCGCCCGCAGCCTCCCATCCCCAAGCCGGCCGTGCCTGGAACCCTTTTAGTTCAAAACACACGATTATTCTTTTTTTTTTTTTACCAGAATCCTTCAGATAATCCTCCGATAAACTTTGGATTGAGATTTTTGTCCCATCCGTTCCACTAGAACCAGCAGAGGAACAACAGGAACACCCCTATTTGGAGGTTTATCAGTGGTCTGGTGTCTTTTGTTTGAAATAGCTTCAGAAACTCTAAAACAGATAAAAAGATCTTTGCTGCTAGAATAAATTCAATTATATTCTTACTGACATCCTCCTTTGTGCTTAATTGTCTTCTGAAGAAGCAGCTGTTGAAAATGAAGTGAGTGCGGTCAACGGAGGGTCAGAGATTGATGCTCCAACCGCCAGTGGACCCTGTGATGGCCTGGTGACGAAAACTGGGCCAGCCTGCTCCACCTCTTCTGATGACGAGCCAGTCAATCCAGCACAGCGGAGACGCCGTCGCTCTCCTCGCTCCGAATCCAGAGAGGACAAACCTGCTGCTGTTCAAAAAGGACCAAGAGCCAAGAGCCAACCACCAATCAGCACCAAGAACCGGAGGCTGTCCAGCCGCCTGGACTGGACCGGGACACAGATGCAGGTGATGCGTGTTTCTGGGTCTGTTGAAAGCCATACTTTGCAGTTTTTTCTAAATCTTAAATCATTTTCTTGAGCCAGTATTTGCTAAATGGCCCTTTACAGGGTTAATGAAGTGTCATTGAGACCCCATCGCCCTCTGTGGCCTGAATATTGCACTTGCAACTTCAGAGTAGTGGGCTGTTCCCGAGGTGTTAGTAAAGTGGAGCTTACCTGCCACCGCTGGAGTCTGCTTCCAGCGTGGTTCCTCCATGTTTTAGATCGCAGCTGATTTGTTTAGTTTAGTGATGAACCGCTGCTGTGAACACTAGTGAAGGCTGAGGAGACGTTTCAGCCGTCAGATTAAGGCGTTAAAAAGACCAACACACAGCGAGGAGACAGGTTTCACTTTTGGTTTTACTAGCAGACACCAGGGGTGCGAAAAGAAAGCCAAAGTCTCCCTTAAAAGTAGTTTAGGGATTAATGGAGAACAATTCCTGTCATGATATTATTTTCATATCAGTCGATGTTTTAATTTGTCATGGTATAAAAAATCATTATTTTTGTCAGTCATTAAAGTGAAATGTGAAGGTATCAGAACATTTATTATTTAAAATATTTGTTTTCAAACATTATTTGATTTGTGGGATTAATAAAAGAAGTTTATTTGGACCGAAATCTTCAAGCATTAGAGGAGAACTGAATAAAACTGTTGAATAATAAAACAGGCACTGGAATAAAAACTCACAAAATCTCAGCTTGTTTTAAATATCGTTTCTTTAAGAATCAGAAACTAAAGACGAAACATCTAAGCGATGATTACGTCAGTGAGAGTCCAAACAAAGACGCCTGCTTCCATAAACACAAATGTACACAGTTTTAGCAAACCACCATAATAACACAAACACACACACTTCTACTGTCTTCACAAATCAGCCCGTGCATCATGATGTTGCTCAAACAGAATACACGTTCACGGACTCAGTATAAGGACTTAATTATACTAACCAAACAACAGTATTACTCCGGTCTAATCAACCCCAATCGAGGCAACACTAAGTCGTTGTACTCTATTATCAATAAAAATTCACCGGCCGTCCGATACTCTGCCCCCACACACGTGCTCTACTGCTACTTGTAATGCTCTTCTGTTCTTCAACGAAAAAATATTAAACATTCACCGTGCAATCAACCAAAGCATCCCCCTACCTCCCCATCTGATCCTCCCGAACCAACACAGTTTTTTTCCATTTTCCAACTTCCCAGTGATTCTGAGATATCAGATATTATCCACAAGTCAAAGTCTTCTGCCTGCCTTCTCGACCCCCTTCCCACGGCCTTGGTTAAACCCCGCCTCCCCTCCCTGCTCCCTCTCGTCTCCGCTCTCATACACGCATCCCTTTCCTCCGGTATTGTTCCCTCTATCTTCAAAACTGCTGCAGTTACTCCAATACTTAAAAAACCTGGTTCGGATCCTAACATTTTTACTAATCTCCGCCCATCTCCAACCTACCCTTTGTCTCCAAAGTTTTAGAAAAGATAGTCGCTACCCAGCTCCACACCCATCTGACACTAAACTCCTTCTATGAACCCTTCCAGTCCGGTTTCCGCCCACTTCACAGCACAGAAACAGCCCTCCTCAAAATAACTAACGATCTCCTCATTGCTGCTGATTCCGGTCTGCTATCCATCCTGGTCCTCCTTGATCTGAGTGCGGCCTTTGACACAATATCTCATTCCATTCTCCTCCATAGGTTATCCTCCATCGGCATTGCTAACATCCCACTTCAGTGGTTTCAGTCCTACCTATCAGGTCGCACTCAGTTCATTACTATCAAATCCTCCCGCTCACAGCCCTCTTCTGCCTCTTCTGGTGTGCCCCAGGGCTCTGTCCTGGGGCCCCTCCTTTTCATTATATGCATCCTTCCCCTTGGCAATATCTTCCGCAGATTCAATATTCATTTTCACTGCTTCGCGGATGACACCCAGCTCTATTTGTCCAGTAAGCCAAATTCTGCACTTCCTCCCTCCTCCCTCATCACCTGCCTTCAAGAAACAAAATCCTGGTTCAGTTCGAACTTCCTGAAATTAAATACAGACAAAACAGAACTTCTTTTGGTTGGTACCAAGAACACCCTCTCAAAATTTGACAGTTTCTCTCTCACAGTTGATAATACTTCAGTTTCCCCTCTCCCCAGGTCAAGAGTCTGGGTGTCATCGTAGACAGCACACTATCCTTCCAATCTCATATCAATAGCATCACACGGTCAGCTTATTTCCATCTTCGTAACATTAACCGTCTTCGCCCCTCCCTTGATGTCCACTCTACTTCTATCCTCGTCCATAGTCTGGTTACATCACGTATCGACTATTGCAACTCTCTTCTCTCAGGCCTCCCTCAGAAAACCCTCCGTAAGCTCCAGTTGGTTCAGAATGCAGCAGCACGCATCGTCACTAAAACTCCCATCTCTCATCACATCACCCCCATCCTCAAACAACTCCACTGGCTACCAGTGCACACCAGGATTAACTACAAGATTCTCCTCCTCACCTTCAAAGCCATCCATAACCTCGCCCCTCACTACCTCGCAGATCTCGTTCACATCGTCACCTCGTCCCGTTCCCTCAGGTCCTCCTCCTCCATTCATCTCTCTGTGCCTCCTTTCGTCTCAGCACCATGGGGAGTAGAGCCTTCAGCTGCACCGCTCCCAAACTCTGGAACTCCCTTCCCCCTCTCATCAAGAACATTAACTCATTCACAGAATTCAAAAAACAACTCAAAACTCACCTCTTCATAACCACATAACAGCTTTGAATTTTAGAGTGCCTTGTTTGTTCATGTTTACGTATGTTTACTTACTGAATGATTTGTTTTTATTCTGTACAGTGTCCTTGAGTGACCAGAAAGGTGCTTTTAAATAAAATTTATTATTATTATTATTATTATTATTAATATAGGGAACAAAGTGTGAACATATGGATTGACAGTCACTTCCTCGGCACCACAGCTCTCCTGATCCACCAGATGACATCTCCTTTAAGAGCATTTTTCAAACAGGAAGTGTGGGTGGATGTGACGGTAGGGGGGGTGAATGACTCTTTAATATATCAGAAATGATCATCGTGTATATTGAGAAGGTCATTATGGATTATTTGGAATGTTTTTAATAGAAACAACAGATTTTTAGATATTTTGAACATATATCTTCCTGATAACTGTTTGAACAGCCTGCCCTAAGCGGTATGCAGATGTGCTCCTGCAGCACTAGTGATGGGGACACCCCTTCATATGTGAAACCATCAGCTGACTGACAGATGGTACAAACAATGCTTCTGTGTTATTTCCAGCAACAAAAATGATCTTAAACATTGTTTCTCTCCCTGTCATTTTCTCTTGAACACTCATAACACTGGTAGGCTACAAAGCACACTCTGTTGTGACATTTGGGGGGGCACTGACCATCGGAGTCAAAAGCACTCATGTTGTTGGGCCTTTGGAGTGAAAGAGTGAAGGTTATAGACGGGGTAGAAGTGGACTGGCAGTCTGAGTTCTGGAGAATCCAGGAATGACCGGTGCTCTAGGACTGTTGGATGTACTCCAAGCCGGTGGATGAATGCACCCCCCACCCCCCTGGCGAGTTGGAAATCCCCGTCGGAGATCGATCTGACTGCAGCAGCGATCAGACTCCTCCAACCAGGGCCGGATTATCGTTGCATGGGCTCCTGGGCACAATGTGCTTAGCGACGTGCCGCTCCTGGGATGTGCCAATTTCCGCAGTTAACATAGGGCTAGACAGGAAATCACAAACAGTTTCAGTGTAAAATCACTGGTAATTTTCAAAATAAAAGTACTGCATCGATGCAATTTCATGTGAAGCTTACGTGTAACCCAACGGCTTATCTACTCACAGCATCGTTCCAGAAGTGCAGCCGTGTGTTTTCACGGCTTTAATCCTGGCAGTGGAGAGGAACAACATCATGTATGACATCAAACAGCGACATCAAATGTGATTTCCTTTTTGGTTTAATGGCGGATTGCATAAACAAACCATGACCTGAAGTCTCGAGGGATCATGTGATCTCGCAAGTCCAGCTAAGAGCACGGCGAGGAAGCCGCAGCGCTGCCAAGACTCTCCCGGTGTGAAAATAACCTCTTTGAAGTTCGCGAGTAAAGCGTTCCGCTGCCGTTTTGCGCCGCCGATGCTTCCAGCGTGAAACCGACATCACTAACGTTATCTTGATCTTTCATATTAAAACAAATATTTACCTCACACATGTTACATAAGCAACAACAGGAAGAAGTTGAAGTTGGTCAATAAAAATATTTGTTTGGAAACTGGTTCAGTAATAACATTTTCTTAGTTAATAAAACCTGATGGCGATTAGCACAGTCTATGCTCATTCTGGGCCTTGAAACTGGATATTGATTAAAAGCCTCAAAGACCTCAAAATTATTTGAAAAGTACAATATGTTTCACTAGTATGGTTTTATTTCCTTAAAATGTATTGTGCTTTCATCAATGTACATATATCTGTGTATGGTCATTATTCCAGAAAGGTTCAGATGAAGACAACGGGACTTCTTTGGTTTCTTGACGACGTTTTGCTTCTCATCCGAGGAACTTTGTCAACTCTAACTGGACGATGGGAGAGTCAAGCTTCTAAGCTGTAGCTGTCTGTTGTTATTCAACGAGCTGAAACTACTCCTGAGTATAGACAATGATTACATAGACAGTAGGGTTTTGAGGTTGGAGCCACCAAGCAGGAGACTGAGTGAAGTGAAAGTGTGCGGAAAGAGGACATGACGTTAGTTGGTGTGTGGGTAGAGGATGCAGAAGATGGACACCGATCTTCCTTGTATGCTTGACTACATTCACTCGTCTCTTAGTGACGGTGTGATCGAGTGTTTTCCTTCCTACCAGCACTCACAAGGAACAGGAGAAGTAGAGCGGCGGCACCAAACACGCTGCAGACATGAATAATAGAATACTCATGGTGTCCATTTCACCAACCAGCCCCCTGGTTTCTCTTCACAGAGCCACAAGTCTGAAGCCTGCATTCAGACCCGGCGGGAGTCTGATAAACGCAGCTCCAACCTGGACCGCCGGCGGGCTCGATCAGCCGACTTGGAGAAGCTAGGGCGTTCCCAGCTGGCGGTGGTGGACGACCGCTGGATGACAGAGTACATGCGTTGCTTCTCTGCCCGACTCAGGTAGAGCATAGATCCATAGAGACTCCTGAAAACCAGGCCCTAAACATCAGGAGGGACACGCTGTTGACATCTGAATGAACAGGACTGTGTGGGAGGCAGGTGGCCTCAGCGTGGGACAAGGGCAGCATGTCATCTACACTTTCATCTTTTCTATAAGGAATGTAAATAATCCCCCAATCCGACAGGCTCAGTCACCCTTCAGACTGTTCAGATGTAGCTTGTGTTTCTACCTGGGCATGAGCAGGCGGGTGTCATGGCGGGTCGGGGTTACAGGTGAGAACACCTGAGTTCTGAGCAGAGGTGTGAGCCACGAGGGGTCAGCTGACTCAGAACAAACCCACTTTATTCCACACCAGCTGTCATTTTTAATGAGCAGATTCACGACGTCAGCATAACGACTCCCTTCTCTACCTTTAAAAAATCACCTTTGTATGTGAATGTCTTGTTTCACAGTAAGAAAACAACAACATCCACCAAGGTTCTTTGGTCATTTTGTAACATTTCTTACTCAAAAGATCAAATAAGATATTTTTATATCAGCTTCAGGATTTCAAACTAAAAATATGAGAATAAAAGGTTTAGATTTCCCTTTTAGAGTGATTTACAGAAACAGATTATCAAATAGAATTAGAATGTAAGTGACAACATTATTATTATTATTATTATTATTATTATTATTATTATTAGTGATTTTAGTCCGGCTGTAACAAACATGGAACAGGCTCAGAACCTGATGCCTCGGCATTAGACATGTTTTAAAGACGGATAGGAGGCTGGAAGTTACTTTAATAATTAAAACTAGGGGCTCTTATTTTGAAGGAGTTAAATGGCCTGTATTTGATATAGCGCCTTCTAGAGTCCTGGAACCCCTCAAGGTGCTTTACAACACAATCACACATTCACACCCTGGTGGGGATGAGCTGCGATGTAGCCACAGCTGCCCTGGGGCGCACTGACAGAGGCGAGGCTGCCGAGCACTGGCGCCACCGGTCCCTCCGACCACCACCAGCAGGCGAGGTGGGTTAAGTGTCTTGCCCAAGGACACAACGACAGACTGAGCGGGGCTCGAACCTGCAACCTGATTACGGGGCGAGCTCTTAACTCCTGTGCCACCGTCGCCCCATGAGTTGAAGAATAAAGTTTTTTTTGTACAGCACCGCTCAAAAACCACAAGGCGCTTCACAAGCAGAACTTTAACGCTGTTCCTTAGTTCCTTTATTGTTAACCTGACTGCGACCCTAACCCTAGCCTGCCGGGCCCTTTGACGATCGCCAAGGCCAGAAGTGAGTGGTTGAGAACTCAGTCCAGCCTTCACATCCATTCCCACCCTTACGACAGCGTATGTCATGTTGCCTAGCAACCACGACTGCACTAAACAGAAGTTAAAACCAAACTTAGCAGTAAAACACAAAGAACTACAAGAACCATCATACAAGCTTGTTTATCAGGATTTTTTTAATGATTTTGACAAAGATTTTATTAAAAAGAAATATGCAAATGAAAAAGTTGCGGATTGCTCTCCCGATCTCATGAATGAATTAAATTATGGCGTACGTTGACAAAATTAATCGTTTTTAATGTTTTTACAGCTACAACAACCAATGGGGAAGAAGCTAGCTTAAAGCACGTATTCTTGCCTCTTAACAACGTTCTAACATAGTATAGCTATGCATATGTTGTGGAGATAAAGAAATAAATAATAAAATGGTTCTCCCTCATTGGTCTAAAAACCTCCACCAATAGCACGTTTTGGACTGAAACCATCAGCACTTCCCTGGGTCCTCAACTCATCACACACTCACGTGTTTAGCAACAGAACACCACTGGTGTGAGAGGTTCTCCGCTCAATAATATCAGAGATGGAGAAACAACCGGCTGCTACCGCTTCCACTTTAGGACAAACTACCAGAGTCCCTAAAAGAAAAACACAGTTTCAAGTCGCGGACGACGAAAGACGTCGAAAACAGAGACTGGTGTTGAGCGCAGTCTCGTTTTCTCCAGCAGTGCGGGTTTCGGTGGGGGGTGTTGTTGACCTAGCGTGTTCTACAGGTTTGCTAAAGCAGCTTTAATGTCCGTGGACACCTTTTGGCGCTGATCAGTGACATCACTGATGTGATATGAGCAGCGTAATTCCCCTGCCTCCTTCCAAACTTCCAGAACTCCTCTAGGGGGAACACGGCTCTGTCGGACAACCCAACGCTCCTGGTAGCATCGCTGCCACTGGTTTTACAGGTACATTCATTAGTAGGAAGAGAACCATTAAAACCAGAGTTGTGCATCAGAGCACCAATAAAGTACCAGGATGTGTTCAGTGCTGTGGCGAAGGATCTCTGGAGGTAGTCAGAGCCGACTTCCTGTTGCGTTGATTGTTTCTAGCCATGTTTAACTTTTAGGAAGTCGTGATGAATGTTTGACTTCACAACAGTGAATGTTTCACTTGTTTGTTCTCACCGTGCTGCAAAACAACAACCAACCTCATCAAGCTGTTAACGTGTGAAGCAGTTCACCTCCAGAACCAGAGCAGGAGGAGCTTTTGTTTCTGGTCCACGCCGTGGGAACGTGTGACGAGCAGCAGTCCTCTAACCCCCGTTTGAGCTGCTGCTTAACACAGCGGACCCTGAGGCAGGTCCTCGTGACTTTACTGTCAGATGAAGCGTCTTTGGTGTCTCAGGTCTCCTGCGTGTCTCTGCACCGATGACCTGTCCAGCGTGCACCCCCCACAACCTCAAACACAGCTGAGGAAGGTTCCCAAAAGGCTCTGTGTGGGCGGATTGTGTTGATGTGTTCAGCCAGGTCAAAGGTCACTGCCAGGAAATCTCACACACAAAAAACTCCAAAAGTCGTCCCTCTGGTCCGAGAGATAAACCAGATAAATGTTTTTGTGTTCTTTAGACAATCAAGATGAAAGTATTTGAATATTGTTGAATGAACTGATTGTAAAATGATGATTTCTAGTTATACACAAACTGTTTATTGTACACCTGGTTATAATTTTATCTGTCGTGTTATTTAGATTCATCATCACTGGTTTTGTATTTCAGAACATGCACATTATTATATTTCCTTTAATGTGTTGAAGAGAATTAATGATTTGAGTAAAACCTGATTTGTGACATTTTTTTTCAGTTTTCTTGGTGAATGCTATCATTTTGATGGAGGACTGCACAACAGCTCAATTATTTATTATTATTGTTATTTATTTATTAGTATGTAAGTATTTATCAGGCATTCTGATGGCCAGCTGTCACAGGGGCGGCTCCAGAGATGTTTTTCTGCAGGTGCTATGAAGGAGCTAGTCTTTTTATTGAGGGTGCTATGAAGGAAGTGGTCATGTGTACCTATTGTTCTCTAAAACACCTTCAACACTAGCAGACACACACGCGTGCACAACACCTCACCTGAAACAATCATTAATATACATCATAAACATATGAACAACCGCTGACTTTTCCATGAAATCATAAACACATACAGCCACACAGAAAACCATCTATAGTGTTGCAAGGTTAGCTAACGTTAGCGTTAGCATTTCCAGCGGCTAAACCCTGGACTGCTGCGGCGGTTGGGGGTTGACTCTCTTCATCCAGATCCGTAGGTGTTTGTGGGTCTGAGATCACTTCCAAACATTCATCCGTGTCTGACTGAACCCGTGGAAATGTGGGCAACAAAAACCGATCCATCTTACCGCTAGCTCTACCTTTCACTCGTTCACAGGTGGAAAATGAGGTCAAAGGTTAACGTCAATTTCCTGTTTTGGTGTAAGTTTTTACTATCTATATGATAATTTACTGATTAGTTTTGTTTTGTGTGAGTAGTGAGAACACGGAGCGTTCTCCCAGCGGCAGCCAGGTGCCTCTCGTTTGTCTGACTACTTTCATAAACTACTGTTAGGACAAAGAATTACTCTGTCTGGTGCTTTCAGTGCTGCACAGATGTTACGTAAATGTTTAAAATATAGCTTAACGCAACTTTTGTAAAGTTTCCGGTGCCACCGGGCAGCCGCAGCAGAGACGATCTCTGAAAAATGTCCGCGACACGGACTCCGTTGTTGTGTGACAGTGTGAGCATCCTGTCACAGTGTCCCGATTGATCATGCGCCCTGGCTACTTGGCCAAGGGGATGTCCCTTTGGCTGACTGGTTAGAGCGTATGATTCTCACCCGGGAGTCTGGGGATCGAATCCCACCCGGGCCCTCGTTTCTCCACCTTGCCACAGTTGTCTGGAAGTTTTTATTCCAAGTTAAGAAAAGAGGCAGACGTGTTTCCTGAATCCTGCACCAGTACAAGCAAGGCAACTTCTTTCTGTTTTTATCCTGTTTTAGTAGCCATTAGCATTGTGCTTTGCTGTGTGCATCAGTGATATTCAGTCTACGAGGAAGTCGTGCAATGACAAAGGTTCCGCCTTGCTCGAAATGCAAGCTGCGATTAAATGCGTTAATTTTTTTTTACGCGTTATTTTTTTTTCTAATTAATTAATCGTAATTAACGCGTTAAAGTCCCGGCCCTAGTTTGAACCCATCGAGGTTTCTTCAGGAACTCTCCATTTAAGTCGGGAGTGTCCGTGCATGCGTGTGTGTGTGTGTGTGTGTGTGTGTGTACATGAATCCCAGGAACTAGAGGACCTATAGAACACACTGACAAATGATAACATGTGGAGAGCATGCATGTTCAATGTTTACTGAAAATAGAGAACAACCAACTATGGACACACTGTTTCTATGTCGGTACAGTGGAATCAGCTCATGGTGACATTTGCATATTCATATAAAGAATAGAAAGTCATTAAGCAACAGAACTTTTCAACACGTCTCCGTTCCTCGGGGGTGGGGGCAGGGAACACCGCGGTGACTCCAACCACCACCTCCATCACCGGGAACCACAACAGTTTGTTGTCTGAGTTGGAAGCAGGGATGACGGTGACCCCGGCGACCCTGGCTCCTGCACCGCAGTTTTCAAACATGTTCTGACGCTCCTTTGTTCAAAAAGTCTCGACTTTCCATCCCATAATAAATCCAGGGTTTGGTGGAACCAGCTTCATGTAGGCGTAGCTCGCTGAACAAGATTCCCAACATTCCTGTCAGAGAACATCTTAATCCGAACTTCCCATCAAGAGAGAAATGAACTCGCAGTCTCACTCTAACCCCAGCTAAGACTTGCATTGTTGAAAATTAAGTTCCGACATTTCCTTTCAAAACAGGTAAGTTTAATACAAAAGGAGGATAAAGCAGAAGGAACCATAGAAATGTGGCAAACGTGACACGAGCTCAGTAGAACTCTTTAACTCGTGCCGATGGCATCAGACTTTTATTTTGTAGGAGCTGTTAGCTTGAAACAATCCTAACAAATAAGTTTGTTGCAGAAATAAAACAGCAGACTCAGGTTCTTGCAGTAAACACTGTACATTACATGAACAACATTATTATCATTGTAATCAATATTATTTATATTTTCTAACTGCTTTCATAAAGTAACACCATAAGTATGCAGCCAATCACGAGGATTCAGGCGGACAAGTCGATCAAAACAAAAACAGATTGAAATTGACATGCAAACGTCTTCTTCGTCCTGTCGTCGTCCTGCTTGGCACTAACGTGGCGGCTCCGCCACACCTGGCTCAGATCTCAGGATCAGCAGCTGCTGTCGGCCGAGCACCGATCACTATGTTTGGCATCAGAACTCCCATGATATGTGTGTGTGTGTGTGTGTGTGTGTGTGTGTGCTGATGTAGGAAAGGGGAGGGAAGCTGGCCTCACACCTCCAAGTATTTACTCACATCTGAATGAGTTCAGCGCTGGGCTGTGTCCACGAGGACTCATCTGTCACAGTTTCACCGTTCTGCTTCCCCTCCTAACACACATTATTACGTTTAATCCTCTAAATCCTCGAGAGCCGAGCCTTTCCTGAACGGAGGAATGTCGTAACAGGGAGTTTGTCTCCGTTTTACCGACTTTCAACTGGGTGACTGGGTATTAGCCAACATGAGGGCGGGTCAAACCCACTCGGAAACCTCTGACCCAGGTCCGTATGACCCTAGCACAGCCAGTACCCAACAGTCTCCATGGTGACGAGGTGACCACAGGTAACCTGAACCTGGAGTTCCACATAATCCAGCTTGTGTTTGTTATTCTGAGGGAGTGCCTCAGTCGTAGATGTTAAAGCTGGTGAAGTTACAGGAGTACCAAATACTCCACGTACAAAGTACCTTAGTAAACCAGAACTGTGAGGAAGTACTGCGGCTGTTTTGGGCTGTGATGGTTTAAACTCAGCAGGTGGTTTTCTGCCGTCAGTCCTGATGCTTCTACTAAAGGATTTAGTTATAGTGACAACTTTATGAAACGTGTGTGTGTGTGTGTGTGTGTGTGTGTATCCATGCTTCTCTGGGTGAATGCCATTAATAAGGGATTTTCAGGCAGAATGGATAAGTACAAATAGATACAGTAACATTTTCAGCGTTTACAATATTAATAATTTCAGTAAATATTCAGGACACCACCTCTTGATAAACCGTTTAAAACTAGACTCTACTTTTTCTGGGCCCCGTCCCTGATTAATGTAATTATTGCGTGAACATTGGCAACACTGTTCTGGTTTTCTGTACAAGAGGAGCCTTCGTGGCGAAAGAAAACAAAAAACAGTCTACAAAATAATTCATATTTTCTTTAAAAAACTGTCCAAGTGTGCTTGATTGTTTGTCGTGGATGTGTGGAACGAACGTCGCTCTCTGGTGGTCTTGTGACTCACGTCGGATTGCACAAGTCATTCCCAACTCCTTGCAGCCGAACAGTGGGAGCATCTCTAGTTTCTCAACATCAGATGATAAAAAGAAGGGTTGGGAGAGTTCTGAGTGTTCGATGCTAAACGCCTGAATGAAAATCAGGACTGAGAATCCATCATGACTGGAGATTTGTCATTATGAAGAGGGCAAGCACTTCTGTCCACTTCAGAGAAGGATCCGTGTGTTTCGATTGGCTGTAAGGCACAGACTTGGGCGTGGTCATGAGAGATCAGTCATACTGAGGCTCATTGGTAGTCCTGGGCGAAGATAAGCCACTGGAACACGACCATTCTCACTGGTTGACCCAGTGATGGACAGTCGAGCTTTGGAACGCATCGCATCTGTGAATTTCATCTGTAAACCAACAAAATGTCAAAAATCCCCGTTAGAACATGCACTCATAGTCATGCATATTTTATCTATGTTACACGTCAAAAATACCCAGGAACGAAGAAGAAACTGTGTTTAGGTTGTTAAGGTAAACTTTAGTGAACGCACCTTCATTTTTTTGGCTTCAGCACGACTTTTGTAGCAGAACTCGACCAACGCCACCATCATGGCCAGTCCCAGACCGCCAACCAGGATGTAGAAGACTCCTGCTACATTACTCAGAGAGAGAGCACTGGTTTTCTCCTACAAAACACACACACACACACACACACACACACACGCACGCACACGCACGTGCACGCGCACGCACACACACACGCACACACACACACAGGGTTACAACGCTCTACCATATCTCTGGTTTTAAGCAGTTGATGTTTGAAGGCGAGTTGCAGTCAGGCTCCTCAAAAGGACAAGACAAAAAGGCAGAGATATAATGAGGATTTGACAAAGACACGATGGAACCAAGGAGTGTAAACAAGGTAGGGTGTTTAGCATAGACACCATGTCAGCCGGGGACACCAGGGACACGTTCCCACCCTTCTATTTTCTCACTTAAAGTTGGACTCTTCAACACCGGATTTAATTCTTTTCGACCAGCTCCATCACCTGATTCACCCAGGGTGTCGCTTGTTTACCGTTAACTTATAACCTATAGTCAACTTGTCGTCGATACATGTAGGTCTCTATTTCATTTAATCAATGATCACTTCACTCTGAATAAAAATAAATCTGGTGATGTTGCAGAATCTTGTGGAAACAGCGCCACAGTGAGTGATGTAATCACAGCTAAAGGCGGTCCGACAACGTATTTGAGTGTGTGGCCTTGTTTTTGGTGGTGACTTATTTAAGTATCAAACATTTTTTTTTCATAATTCAAGTTTTTATTTGTTTAATGTTCTATATTTAAGCTCAAAATTGCAGTAAAACTATGAGCTCAGGCATGAGAAAATGGAAAACTAGTTAAAAATATGGTCTAAAGATGGACCCTGAGAATGGACCCAGGATGTATGTTCTCTTCAGAAATGCTCGTGCCATTGCAAACACAAATGTCCTAGGTCAGACTTTAAATGAATTTCGAAGCTACACAAAAACAGGCTTAGGGGAGGGACAGGCATATCTGACTGGCCATGCAGCAGGTCAATAAGTAGTAGTGCCTGAAATACATTAAATACAGCTGAAAACCTCTTCAAAGATGCAACGGATGGTGGATTACATCACTGATGGACTGAACCACTGAATTAGGAGCAGGAGTGCATCAACAGTGATGACCTAGCAACATTGCTCCTTAACCCTTCGTTAAAACCCTTCGAACCCTAGTGTCCTCTACTTGGGGGACAAGAAGAAGAAGAAGAAAATATCATGTCTATAGCGCCTCTCAAGATAAAAATCACGAGGTGCTTCACAAAAACAAAACAAAAATGTTAAAATATAAAAAAGCATTTAGAAAATGTTTAAAAATATATTTAAAATGAGCAAAAATAGACAATTGGGATTTAAAAGAAAAAATGTTTAGAAAGAGAGAGAGTGAACAGGAAAGAGGTAAATCAGTGGATCCTGAGGAAGGTGGAATAGGTGGGGAGAGCAGAATAAAGAGAGAGAGGTGAAGAAGGTCATCCAAAAGCCAGCTTGAACAAGTGAGTCTTCAGCTGCTTTTTAAAGGAGACCACTGAGTCCACTGATCTCAGGCTCAGGGGGAGAGAGGTCCAGAGTCTGGGGGCCACAGCAGCAGATGATCTGTCACCTTTGACCTTTAGCCTGGTGCTGCACAACAGTAGGCTTTGGTCACTGGACCTCAGGGACCTGCTGGGGGTGTAGGGACTAAGAAGATCACCAATGTAAGATGGTGCTTGTCCATGTAAGGCCCTATAGACCAGAACCAGGATCTTGAAATGAACCCTGAAGTTGACTGGCAGCCAGTGAAGCTGGAGGAGAAGCGGGGTGATGTGGGTGTGTTTGGAGGACTTGGTCAGAAGCCGAGCACAGGCGTTCTGAACCACCTGTAGACGGTTCAGGGAGGTTCTGCTCAGACACGTGAAAAGAGAGTTACAGTAGTCTAAGCGTGAGGAGATGAAGGTGTGGAGAACTGTCTCAAGTTCAGAGCGGGACAGAATGGGACTCAGCTTAGCAACGTTCCTGAGATGGAAGAAGGAAGAGCCAACAAGAGAACTGACATGAGAATCCAGGGTGAGAGCTGGGTCAAAGGTCACACCAAGATTCCTGACAGAAGGTTTGGTGTGGGAAGCAAGCTGACCAAGAGAGTCTCTGACTTTGGGAACCAGCTTGTCTGGGGCACAGATGAGGATCTCAGTCTTATCTTCATTCAGCTGAAGAAAGCTCCCACCATCCAGGTTTTGATAGAGTCTAAGCAGGTGTGTAACAGCTGCAGCTTAGACATCTCATGGGGCTTAAAGGAGATGTACAGTTGGATGTCATCTGCATAAAGATGGTAGGAGATTCCTTTGAAGGAGCTCAGGATGTGCTGAAGAGGAAGCAGACTGAGGAGGAAGAGCAGAGGCCCCAGCACAGAACCTTGTGGGACACCATGGGTAAGAGAGGTGGTGGAGGACCTAAACTTGGAGACGGCCACAGAAAAGGAGCACTCAGAGAGATCCTGATAGGCCTACCCAGTCTCTCAGCCTCTCCAGTAGCAGGTGATGGTCAACAGTGTCAAAGGCTGCAGTCAGGTCCAGCAGGACCAGAACAGAACAGTCCCCTGCATCACTGTGAGTCAGAAGGTCATTAGAGACCCTAAGAAGAGCTGTTTCAGTAGAATGAGCTCTACGAAAACCTGACTGGAAGCTATCATAGATGTTATGTTCATCAAGAGCAGCTGTGAGTTGTTTAGCCACAACCTTTTCCAAGATCTTGGAGATGAACGGAAGTTTAGAGATGGGTCTGAAGCTGCTATGGAGAGAGGGGTCGAGACTCGGTTTTTTAAGAAGCAGGTGAGGCAGCAAAAGCCTAGGGTCCAAGGGGTTGGAAGGTCCAGACTCAACCTCGTGATGATCTGGCTCTCACCAAAGTACTTGATGGGTTTGACAAAGGGAATAACACGTGATGGAGACAGTAAATGATGAGCTGCTAGAATGGGGTAACAGATATTCTTAGGGAACGACCACAAAGCACCTATGACAGAATGTGTTTCTCATAAAAGTTACGTCTTAAGTTAAGTCACATCTCAGGCTCGCTGAATCTTGTTGACTTTGTACAGCTCCAAGCATTCAGTGGTCCATGAGTGCGACATTGAGTCATAGACTTTTTTGTAATCAATCCAGGCCGTGCACAGGTTGCTGTGTCGGGCTTTGCCATCTTGGGCGACTGTTGGGTCTATCAGCAGCTGGTGTTTGGCTCGTCTGGTATCTCTGCATATGTCCAGCTGTGCTGTGCTCATGTACTGATCCATGCTCCCACTCATCTCGGTCGCTATGATTCCCGACATGAACTTTCAAGTTGTGGAGAGACAGCTTAACGGCTGACAGTTGGATGGGACTGTTAGGATCAGGGGTGTGCACCCTTCTGTTACCCAATCAGGGTGAGTCCCACCCTTAAACAGCTGGTTCATTTGTACTGCCTGTGCTCATGGGGGCATCTAAAGCCAGTAGGTGTGGATCATTTCAGGTCCCGGTGCTGTCTAGTTCTTCATACCATAGACTCTTTCTTAGACGTCTGCCACAGCCCTTAGCTGGTTCGGTCGAGAAGAGGGCTTGGAGCCTTTGTTTGACAGTTTCCAGTGCTTCATGCACGAGTGTCTGGCTGTAGCTCTTGGGTCCTGAATTTCTGCCTTGATTTTGGCCTCCAACCTTATTTCCATGGTGGATATTGTTTCTCATAGTTTATCTTGCTATTGTGGCCAAGCATCTCAAGGATTGGTGCTTAAGTGTCTATCAGCTCATTCGTTTCAGCGATCATGGTTGTAGGAATCATTGCCAGTGCTGTCATCACATCTTCAAGGATTTCTGATGATACTTCACTAAGCCTGGTGCTCATTCGGGTTGTGGTCTCATCCTTCAGGTCAGCTGCTGCCTTGTTCGGCGCCATTTCAGTTGGGGCTTTGTACCCAATCTCTGGATGGAGAGTTGATGTTAACCCTGCTCTGACCTTGTGATCTGGCTCCCCTTTGCCTTAGCATTTGTGTTGTTCATTTGTGAATGAACACTAAGCTACTGGCTGTTTGGCTTTTTGTGTTGAATGCGGGTTTGGAGGTATCCACCCACTGTAAGTAACCCCTCTGACTAGGGTTCCTGGAGTAGCAGCATTCCAACAGACAGGCTCTTGCATTTCACCTATTTCCGTCAGGTTATGGTTCCCCAGCACTTGACGGAGACCTTGTTTCACCAGGTGACATCTGGGCCGGCATCTCATAAATTTCAGTTGCTCTCATTTGGGGTAGATGATAGCACCAAGGGTCTTGCTTAAGGACCCACATTGTTGGTATTTTCCGCAGACCAGGGCCCTCATTTATCGACTGTACTTACGCGTTTCTGTTGCGTAGGAACTAATTTTCACATTGTGTGGTATTCACCATTTTGTACCTGTGTGTGGAAATGTTCCTAAACATTAGAAAACCTCAGACCATGCGTAGGAACAGCATCCAGTGGTAGAACAGGGGGACAGCAACACCGAAGGTCTCAGTCATCCACACACGCTCATCATCCACTAATTATTCTACCCATTAAATAAATGTTTCTGTAGTAAAAACAGCCGAGTCACATAACTGGTGCTACAACACCCGACAGGTATCTGACATTATAAAATGAATGTCGTGCTTTTGTAATCACAATGGTTACACTTCCCATTTTTATGATTTTTTTCATTGTTTTTAATTATTTAATAAGATCTTTAATTTAATTCAATTGCATTTTATTTTTGTCCTTGTGAATCTCCTCGTGATTGTGCTTGAGGTGCGTTAGATAAAAGAACGTTTCTATATTGTTATTAAGGATTTGTCAGAGCTGCTCTCTGGAGTAAACAGGAGTTCCACCTGGAGCTATGCTGGGATGTGGGATCCTTTGTGCAGTGACAGAGAAACCGCCCAAATCCGTTACATTCAATTTCTATTTTACAACTATGAGAATCTTCAGAACCTCCTCTGCTCCCCGATCAGTCACGCGTTGTCATGGTAACCAGATTAAAATACAGCTCAGAAGAGGCTGCACTCGGACATTTCCAAACAAAACTAACTCCAACCAGAACGACTCTACTCTACGATTTATCAGATTAAATTTTTAATTTATTCCTGA